TAAGTAGTATAGTATATATATATATATATATATATATATATATATATATATAGATATATATATAGATATCTCAATTTTACATCATGCCCAAAACAAGGGAGGTAAGACTAGACACATATAAAAAAGTTACAACACCGCTAAACATATTTGACGTACATAATATATATATATATGTATATAATATGTATTTAATACGCATCTTCACTCAACCAGCCAAACTATACTTATGCAACCGTATTTCTCCCACGTGTCATCTCCCTCCGCACGTGAATTACGCACGGATTTTATATATCGCGTGTGACTCAGTACTTCTTATACTCTTATACAATTTTTACTGCGTCCACTACTCGTTTTCTCATACTGTGATGCTAATTACTTTTAGGGCACGTGTGCTACAAGCTGTAAATCATCTCAAACTCGGCCGAATTCCTATGTCTCAACTGTAATTTAAACATATCCTATAGCGACCGATTATCGACCAATATAGGAAATGTAAGAAATCGTGGTACAATCGACGAGAAGGATGATTCCTTGCTGCATCCTTTCTTCACGTTTGTTCACGAGAAGCTCTCTCTCGCCGATCCTACGACGATCTCTTCATATACGAGAAAATAAAAAATAATTGCGTGTGTATTAACTAAGAATCCTAAATAGCAGATTGGATCACTTTCGGTTCCGTTCGCAAAAAAATTATTTTTAATAAAAAGAAAAATGTTAATTTAAAAAAATAGAGGCGATACAAAAATGATCGCTTAATATTTTAAGCGTTAAGTCAATTTTTATCTCGTATCACGTTGACAAACAAACTTGGAGTTTATTGGTCTTTTCGACATATAATTCTACGCTATAATTCGACATATAATTCTGTACTTAATTATTCTGCTACTTAGGGTTGCTCGAGGAATTAGCTATGTTTCATAGGAAAACAGCACTTGGTACACAGCGCTTAGAAATAAACGCTCGTTGATTTTAATTAATTAAATACGATGACATATTATTACTGAGCAATATTCGGAATACTTCTCAGTACGATTGTGCTGCGCGCAGCGAGTTCGTGTGAAGCGCTGATAAAAGCCTCTGAACAAAGCATTTAGCAGTTAGTCGTAACAGATGTAGGTACTCAACGTTCTCAGTACAACAGAAGATTATACTACGGTAAAAACTGAAAGTGATGTTTCCCTCGACAATTCGACAAATACATTCGAGTACTATTCATTCTGATACGTACGAAATTGTCAAAATGTGATACTATTGCAGACGAATTATCGATGCGAGATCTCAACAGCATCGTTCCGAAGTGAAGTAATGAACGCGATTCTCGCTGAAGAATACAAATCGAAAGATTTTTGATTTTACAGACCTTTTTTTTCATGCCGTTGTGCGCACGACGAAATGGGTGTTTTTCTTGGATAACACGAATATTCGAGAAAGAGAAGCTATCGAATATCATGACTTTCATGAGTCTACCGCCCTTTGGTTTTGAGTAGTAGTTTTGCACAAAACGCTCCGTGAGATTTGGCAGCCATTTCATGAGCCCGTACTAACTACTTCAGTTAGTATTGTTAGACGAACGGTCAGGTATTGCTGGAGTATTTACTGCGGATATTTGACAATATTAATTCCCAATGCGGGAAGGATGTTAATGCATCCTCATGGAGATCTGAAGTTTCTTCAGGATGACGATTAATCATTTCACTTGAGCCGATCTTCACGTTTGGCACGTCATTGGGAAGTGTCGTATAGATTGCAATAGAGAACTCGAGTATTCAAAGATATCAAATCAATGCGCTAATCAACAGAATCTTGAATCGTTACAATGGATTTGGACCAGCGGATTGCTGACAAGAAGAGCGATTATAAGCTCGAAGGATGTAAGAAAGAAGCAAGAGTATCCCTCCGCCTTGGTTCTCCAAACCCAAATGGGGATCGAGATCGGATATAATTCCGGGGAGTCCGCCTTTTGATGCGTTGAATGGTGCTGAAATCCAAATTCGCCGGAGTTACACCGGCTTACTTAAGTCTCTCTCTTTCGCAGCGTCCTTCGACGTACGTTGCAGTTCTGCGGGATCGGAAGAGGAGATTCCGGGTGATGGACTTGGTAAGAAGTCGCAGCACACGTCGACCGGTGCGACGCAACTCGCTCTCACGTCGCGACGAAAAGAGAGTTGGTCTCGTGCCATTCGAGAAGTGATCGTGTACTCGTCCGCATATCGAAATAGGTCCAAGCACACGTGTATAGACACGATACATAAACATTTACACTTAGAGATTACTTACATGACGATTCGCCTAACAATCCTAACGTGACTAAAAAAACACGACTGTTGGTCCCTCTACACTTTAGCTTTATCTTGAGTGGCTTGTCATTGTCAGAAGAGAGCTAAAAGGGTAAAAGTGATCTATAGGATGCTCAAAATTAAGACAAAGAAGAAAAAGAAAGGGGAGGAAGAAAGAAAGAAAGAAGATAAAAACGGAGAACGAAAAGTAAGAGATAAAGAAGAAGGAGAGTAGGAGTTCGGTACGGCAAAGGTAACGTGCAACAAGGTATAAAACACATTTTGTCTATTGAGATCGGCGGAACAAGAAGATCATCGTGCTTCGACACTGAGGTATTGCACAAAAGTAAAACAGCTACTACGAGCGTAAACTAAGGTTTGTACGATGCAAAAATGCAATCATGCACGGGGTGTCAATGTCAATACTCATGCAGGCTATACTCTAGAAAAAAGAAAGCTTGCGGAACAAGTTCCTCGATCGTGGGAGATTGCCTGTCCTCGTCGCGATTTATATCAAATATGGACATCTGGCATCGCGCAGGAGAATAACCTTACACGTGACAGAAGGCAGTTTAGTTTTACAAATACCATTTGTCGGGCGTTTTCTCAGTCTTCCTCGCTGTTCACCAGAATTCGTCGAGATCACTGCGTCGTGATGTTCGATCGAAGTAAACCTTTCTTCATAAATTGTTACGCAAATATTAGCTTCGAACAGTTTAAAAACGCGCGGAATAGATTTCTCTATTACATGTAAATATCACATTCGAATGTGTTTATCGATAATGCTTCGTGCATTATCGCTGGGACATTGTATATTTCGTAAATGTAACATTCGTACCTAGCCCTAAGCGCATCATTCACTCGAATCGAAGATATCTGTCGATCGATTATACATATTTCAGTTTCTCGCTTTCAAAAGCCAAGTTTAAAACGCAAGATTTTTAAAATCTTTGCTCATCAAAGTGCTCGCAGAAACGAACTCGTAAAACAGCTACTGCTTTATGGTTCAAAAGTTTCAGTTCAACCGATACGCGTTGAGTGAGAAAAATTTGACTTCACTTTTGAAAACGAGATGTAAAATCAAGTAATAATTACTGATCGGCAGCTCAGGTCTCTATCCTGAGGCCGCAAAAGCGTCTTGGCCTGACCTTTAAAAAAAGTTTCAATAACATGGTATATTCTTTAGTAGAAATAAATAATGTGAAGGGTGGTCGTACCCGGCTTGCCTCGGGGCATTGTTAGACAATGTGTAGATGACACGCCGAAACATTTGTGGCTCCAGGGCAAGTATAAGCGCTACTAGAAGCACCAGCACAGCGACAGCTATGCTCATCCAACGCGCACAGTAGCTGGTTCTACCGGGTGTCTTCATCCTAGTCTTCGGTTCTATCGTATTGTCCGAACAAACCGACTGTACCATATCGTGTGTTTCTGCTACTTAAAGATTATGCAATTGCTATGAATCATCGTGGGATATGTGACTTTTGATAAGTTGATTGATTGATTGATTGATTGATTGATTGATTGATCCGGATGAACTTTTCACCGCTGTGATTAGTATGAGGGAACCGAGAGAAACGAGAAAGTCGAAAGCCGAAGTTGTAATGATTTGATCAGATTACTGGTGAATTGATATTTCTTATCATTATCCAACAATTAAACCGTCGATTTCGTAAAGTAGCATCAATACAATTTCAATTTAACAAATTGTAATTGTTTAAAAAAATGCATTAAAATTTAATCACAGCTCTTTTCGTTAAATTTTAAGGATAATGAAGATAATTTCATGCAATTTTTAGAAGAAGCTACTGTAATGTAGCTTATTATTGTCGAGCATTAAATTACTAGATGCGTGCCGATTTTATGTCTCGTGGAAGATTTCGCAAATTCTTGTTATGAGCTTTTGTACTTCGAAATATGATCTTTCTGTTCGATCGTTTGTAAATTCCCTGTTATTTTATTAGAAACTTTGGAAAAATCACGTTAAGACGGCACGTCACACATTAGATCTATCTCTTTATGTATTGCATATTCGGCATATCAACATATTCGGCATATCAGATTTGCGTTTGATCGTTCAATAGCTGAATGAGCCTCGCGAATGATCGCGAATGAGCCTCGAATGAGAGTATGCTAGTTCCAGGAAGCCCCTGATCGCAAGATTCCATCCATCCTCTAGCCAAGACCAACGAAAAAATAAAAAGGAAAAGAGAACGACGTTATCGAACGTTTCCCGAACGAGAAGCAACACTTAGTTGATCACCATTAATCGCACATGTCACAATTCCTCGTAGCTCGCCTACGAAGAGGGATACACCGCGCAATTTATGCAGGCTTATACGGCTGCATTTCACAAGCTTTATTTTTCCTTGCGAGTCATTACCCTTCGGTACGCACGATGCTGTCGACATCGTGCACAAACAATTACAATCCTTACCCAAAACATCACATAGATCATGCAATTCCCAAGCGAACGATCCCCAACAATTTTGCTCCTTTCAACTCTGGATTTCAAAGCAGCAATAAGGAGTCAAAGGTCCTCCCAGAAATTATTATGTTTCAGTTACGTCTTAAATTTTTTAAATCATGTTGCAAAATATTTTAAAATAAATATATTAAAACCGGAAGGAAATTTTATGCAAATTGTAAACAAGCTAGTAGAGAGGACTTCTGACTGTCATATTTTAATTTACATCTCTGGAACAACTCATGTTTTACGTATCATCTAATTCATGTTTTGAATTTGAGTAATTTTTTTTCCGATCCGATTTTATCGTTCCAGTGATGATCTTTATCGATCGAGTTCCATCACCCAATGTCAACTTTCCTCATCGGACAATGGCGAACATCGAACGTGCTCTCGAATCATCGTGCAATTAGTGGGAGATAGCAAGGAGATGCATGGGAATGGCATGCAAAGACAGCCAGGATTTAACACCAAAGCTTAACGTGAGGTAATCTATGTATAAATATATATATATATATATATATATATATATATATATATATATATACATACACTTTTTTTTTGTAAGGCTCGTTCGTTCATATAATCCGAGAGGCAACCGATTAGCGAGGGGGGGTTCGAGAGGTATGTACATTGCTTATGCAGAAGGTTAGCTGTGAGAGTGCGGTACCTTGGTCGTCCTCCGAACGGGACAGCTCCGCACCTTCGTGCAGTGCTACATCCGACCCGCTGGAACTGCCCAATGTACGCCTCTTGCTCGGAGATCTTCTTCTAGGTTGCGGCGAACCGTCACTATCGGTGTCGCTGTGCACATCGTGCCTCGAACCACTCTTGTTGTTGTTGTTATTGTTGTTGTTGTTGTTGGTAGTGGTAGTAAACGCGTCAACGCTGCCGCCGTTCCCGGAGCCGGGTGATGTATCTTGCGAGTACTGCGGTTCCCATTGTTCGTTTGCCGCTGTCCAGGAGGCGGTCTCTCCGACTTCGGATCTCGTTAATTGCTCCTGGAGACTCCTCAGAGCGGACTCCGCGTCTTCGTAGCCGCCAACACCGCTGCTGGAGATCATCGTTCTCGTCACCCTCTCGGTTCTCTCGATCTCCGGCGTTTCCGTCGTCACGCGTTGCACAGTCGTAACTGTTTGGACGGTACCGTCGGACTCTGATCTATCTGTCCTTATCGTAGTAGTGGAGGAGTCTGCAAACCTATCGTCAAAGTCAAAGATTTCGCTCGGTAGCGTGCCAGCGACTTGATTTATCCTCTCGACAACCTCCTCGCGTGTTAAGGATTGCAAGCTATCGTCCTCCGAAGTCAGAGTCACGGTTCTCACCGTCTCAACGGTACCACCGGTCTTCAACAGCTCCTCCAGCTTCTCAGGATCAATCGACGGATCGCTGATCACCACCGTAGTCGTCGTCCGTCGTATTTGCTCCACCAAGGGAGTCGTCTCCGTTAGACCGCTTATTGTCTCGATTAGATCGTCCGATTTGGTATCAGGCGGCGATACTTTTCTCTTTTCTTCCACCGTCTCTTTAGTCAACTCGCCATCCGTGTATTCTTTAGTAACGCATTTGACGACTCGTGAAACTACTTGTGGACCGGTGATACGGTCTTCCGAGGACTCTAATTGGACGGATTCAAGTTCGCCGCTTAATTTAGGCGCTTGAGAGTCGATTTTAACAGGTATCCTACTCTTGCTCGGCGACTGTGCCTCCTGCGTCAATTTGGGCGGCTGCTCGAACGTTTTATGTGTTCGTGAGGCATCACCGAGCTCCAGGTGGAGGTCAGGTTTGGTGGTCGGCTTGGTGGTGGAGTGACGCGGGGCGGGAACAGGTTGCTTTGATGGAGCAGAAGTAGCATGCCTCTCTACAGTCCCATCAATCTCAGCCGAATCATGCCCTGACCCATCCAAAAGGACATGGACAAGAACAGGAACAAGGACATAAAGCACATTGATACACACTAAGAATTTCAACTCTAGCCCAGCTGCCAAAGTTGGACCGGAAAGATTCGGAGCGTGTCTGCCTCGCATACGCATGTGTACGCGCATATACACTAATGAACGAAAGACTCGCGCCGGTGCACGCACGCACGCACGCACGCACATGCGTCGTGCGGATTTAACAGAGAGGTGATCTCGAGGAGATGCGCTTCGCATGTGACGCGTGTGCGCGTGCACCGCGGCTTTATCCGCGCATTTAGTTTTTTTTTTTTTTTAAATTTAGTTAGTATCAATACTGCAACAGGATTAGTCTGTTTATCGAAAAACGAAAGAGAATACACTCATTTAAAAACGGTGGTCGTGGCGCCTGAGTCTTACTAAAATGTACCACTATGGAAGCAGAGGAACACGCCAAGAGCGTTCGCGAGAGTACGCGGTGCGTGCTAGAGTAGACGCACCTTCAAAATATTCCAAATCATTTTTCTCGAGACTACGCGATTAATTGCAAAGAAAAGATAACTAAACTATATCTCAAGTCTAAACTATATCTTTACCATTTATCTTGTTTTTTTCTCTTTTTTCAAAAGGGATTACCCTCTCGTCGATATAATAATTTGCTAGATACGCTGTTCAACTGGCTAACTACAAACTACTCGACGAGTATGTATACAGCTCGATTGTCCAACCACAATCGCGAGTGTATAACAATCTCGCGAACGAAAGCTATCTCTCGTCCTCGTCGTGTGTATATCAGCAAAATAGTAAAAGAGATCGGTAACTATTTAGTAAGAGACGTGCGCACAGTATCAATTAGTGTGAAAGCGTCGGCAGGTGCTAACTATGGAAGATAAAGCTAAATATAAATGAGGGCACCAAAAAACAGAGTTTGCTATCGTTAACTGATCTTCGACCGGAGATGATGATCCGCGTACGTAAACTCTTTTACATTTTACTCGAGTCATTTTACGTTACCTGCTTTCGTCGAGGTGTACGCCTGATCCGCCAGGTTCTGAGCCCGCCGCGCAGCCTCTTTGGTCACATCTGAAAAGGTCACACACAGAAAATTGAATTCGCATCAGGAATCGATAATTACGACATAGAAAGCAGTGATTCAACAAAGATTAGATGATGAATGATGCTTTTTTTTTTTTCTCTGCATGGCATACCTCGGTTCATGCTTCGCTAGTTGTGGTACTCCTGTTAATTTCAATGAGACATAATTACCGTATAATCGTAAACACGTGATCTCTATATGTTATATGCTACAAACGAAACAAAAGGAGACACGATTGGCGACAAAATAAGATTCCGACGATCGAGTAGTACTAGAAAAAATTCCATCGTAGGTAAGAAACACGTTTTAAAAAAAAGCGTAAAAACCTGGAATCATGCATTAAAACAGGGGTGTTAAAACAGAATCATTGTTAAGACGTAACTGAAAATAAGTACAGCAAATAATTAAACGTAATACATATAGGTATATCGTCTATTTTTCCAGGTAAGGATAGATGTCTTTCTCTTTCTATTCTTCATATTGTAATGAATCGTTCCTGATTTGCTTCGTTCTTAAATGTAATCATGATTGAGCGCATTATCTCGTTCGTAATATTGATTTCGACTAACAATATACCCATTTGACTCATGGAAACACAAAGAAAATTCAAAATAGTACGCAGAAAATTATAACAGGAACAAGCGGAAGTATGAATGTCTCAGATGTTGTTGATCGGCTTTACGAGTCGTAAAACGACGAATTAGTGGACTGGAAATGACTGAGAGATTAGAGTGTTAGGCTTCATTAATGAATGACGAAGGTGCATGAATGTGTATATATATATATATATATATATATATATATATATATATATATATATATACATATATACGTATATATAATTTTCTCTTTTTTTGCTCTCTGATGTCACGAGAATAACTAATAAAACTGAAGTTACAGAGAAGCGTCAACTTAATCATTAATCATGTTACACACAGCTGGTATATGTAATATATAATATATAGATATAGATATGGATATATAACGCAAGATTATTGCAAGATACCTTCGGTTCTACTGTCAGTGAACTCGGCGAGTGAACTGGGTGGCGGTGGGGTCGTTCGCACAGACTTTGTCACGACTGTGGTGACGGAGTGCCGTGTGCGAGGCTCGGGGTGCCCTACCGTAGTTACTGTCTCTACTAATCTATGTGTACTGTCCGAATCATCCGCGGCCGCCTCCTTACCCGGACTAACTTTTTGTGGAATGCGAGATACTCTCTTAACGCTAATTGTCTCAGTTAAATGCTCGACGTCACCGGACGTCTCTGGCCTATCAGATACTTCGGATCTATGGGGAATCGTTTCTTGAACACTCTCGTCTGTGCGTTTCGATTCTACTCTATCAGTGACTTTTTTCGTTTCCGCTATTTTACTCGTTCTCTTAGTGGAAGCTTTGCTACCATTTTTCACGTCCGCTGATTTAGATACTTTCGGCGGAGTGACGCTCTTTCTCGCGGTTTTAGCAGCATCGATAGATTTACTCTTGGCATCGGCTGCCGATTTGGCAGATTTACTCCTCGTTTGAGCCAGATCGCTCTTAGCGCGAGCTTCTTCCGCAGTTGCCTCTTGCTTGGTTTCTTCTAGGAATTCCTTCATGTCATCTGTCGCCTCTTCTACCGCGTGTTTCGCGCTTTTTACTACACCTGATAGAAAACCACCTGCTTTTTGCGTAGCTTTTTTAGCTTCTTTTGCAGTCTTATCCTTAGCGGTTTCTGCAATGCGCGTAACTGTACCCGCACCAGATGTCACTTTTCCTTTGACCACTTGCACATCTTCCTTTGTCTCACTCACAACGGTGTCTTTGGTACTTTTAACTTTTTGCGCCACACTCTGACCAGTGGCCTTGACTTTCTCGCCGGTTTGCGACAAACTTTGTCCAATCTTACTTCCCGTCCCTTTCACAGTGGAAATCGTTTTATCCTTCGCACTTTTTATGCTGGAAATGCTTTTTTCCTTGGTGTCTTTTGCATCCTTTATAACTTTATCCGTAGCAGTTTTAATTTCACCGGCGGCTTTATCCTTCGTTTCTGCAAGTTCCTTTACTTTCGTTGCCGCGGCTTCTCTAACAAGTGCTTCCTCAGCAGCTGCTTCCTGCCTGGTTGTTTCTAGAAAGTCTTTAACATCATCCGAAATCTCTTTTCCTGTCTGTTTCATACTGTGAACAGCACCAGATAGGAAATCCGAACCCTTATCTTTCACCTTTTTGGCATCTTTTGCAAGATCGTCTTTAGCCGTTTTGGCGCTATCAACAACAGCATCGGCACTTGTTACCAATTTATTCTTCATCATCTTCGTATCTGTTTTTATTTCTTCACTGAGACTTTCTTTAGCATCTTTTATATCATGTGCAATATCCGTGGCTTTGGATTCTACTTTCTCACCGACTTTCTTCGTTTCAGTCATCAGTTTGTCAGCTGCAATCTTTGCCGTCTCTGCCACTTGAGTCGTTGTATCAGAAATTTTATCTTTGGCATCCTTAACATCAGATACCAATTCTTCCTTAACATCTTTTGCACTAACGACAACTGCATCTTTCTTTTGTTCTAATTTTTTCAAACCAGCAGCTGCAATTTCTTTAGCACGAGCTTCTTCTAATTCCGCCTCATGCTTCGTTTCATCTAAAAATTCCTTAACATCATCCCTTGCGCTCCCGACAGCATGTTTTGCATCTTTAACTATTCCCGAAAGAAAACCGGATCCCTTTTCTTTAACCTTTTTCGCTTCTTTAGTTGTTTTGTCCTTAGCTATTTGAGCACCATCAGCCATAATTTCGACTCCCGCTGTCAATTTTTCTTTCGTCATTTTCGCATCATCTTTAATTTCCTTAATAGCCGCATCTTTCGCATCTGAAATTGCCTGCGCAGTTGACTCCAATTTTTCATCAATTTTCTTTAATTCCGACGTTACCTTATCTTTAGCAGCTGTACCTGCATCAGCGGCTTTTTGAACATCTTCAGAAACTTTTTTAGTAACCGTATCCTTCGCTGCAGTGGCAGTTTTATCTATGACATCTTTTGCTTCAGCAGCAGCTTGATCCGCTGTGTCTTTTACACTAGTAACAACAGCATCCTTTTTACGTTCCAGTTCTTTCAAACCAGTTGCCGCTGCTTCTTTAGCATGAGCTTCTTCCAATTCTGCCTCATGCCTTGTTTCATCTATAAATTCTTTAACATCATCCGCTGCGCTTTCGAAAGAATGCTTGGCACCCTTAAATATTCCCGAGAAAAAACTGGATCCCTTTTCCTTAGCTTTTTTCGCTTCTTTAGTTGCCTTGTCTTTTGTTGCTTCAGCACTATCGGCCATCGCTTCGGCTCCCGCCGCTAATTTCTTTTTACTTTTTCTGCATCATCTTGTACTTCCTTAATAACTGCATCTTTAGTATCCACAACTCTCTGTGTAACATCCCGTGCTTTTGAATCCACTTTTTGACCAGTTTCCTTCATTTCTGACGTTATTTTATCTTTAACAGTCTTGGTCGCATCAGCAGCTTTGCTAATATCTTCGGAAACTTTTTCAGTAATTTGATCTTTCGTTTCTTTTGCTGCAGCAACAGTCTTGTCCTTGGCATCTTTTACTCCAGCAATAGCTCGATCAGCAGTATCTTTTACTTCAGTGACAATAGCATCTTTTTTATGTTCCAATTCTTTTAATCCAGTTGCTGTTGCTTCTTTAACACGAGCTTCTTCTAATTCCGCTTCATGCTTCGTTTCGTCTAAAAATTCTTCAACATCGTTCGCAGCGCTCTCAACGGAATGCTTAGCACCTTTAAATATTCCTGATAGAAAACCGGATTTTTCTTTAGCTTTCTTCATGCCTTTGATTGTTTTATCTTTAGCAGTCTCGGTACTATCGGTTACAGTATCGATGCCAACTTTCACCTTTTCTTTTATTAATGCTGCATCATCTTTCATTTCTTTAACCGCTGAAGCTTTAGAGTCCTTAATGTCTTGTGTAACATCTGCTGCAGTCGTTACTATTTTTTCACCAATCTTCTCTGTTTCTGCTGTTATCTTCTCATCTGCGGATTTAATGGTGTCAACAATTTTCTGAGTATCCTTCGAAACTTCATCAATAATTTTATCCTTTTTATCTCTCATGCCAGAAATTGTATCATCTTTTGCACCTTTCACATCAGCGACAGTTTTTTCTGCAATTTCTCGAATTTCGGCTGTGACAGCATCCTTTTTACTTTTCACATCCTCAAGTTCTGCAGCAATCTTCTCTTTAGCACGATCTTCTTCTAAAGCAGCTTCCTTTTTAGTCTCATCTAAAAATTCCTTTACGTCATCGGCTGCTTCTTCTACAGTATGTTTCGTTCCTTTAAATATGCCGGAAAAGAAGCCACTTGTTTTTTCTTTAGCTTTCTTCACTTCTTTTGTCGCTTTATCCTTTGCACTATCCACAGTTTCCGCAGCAGCATCAGCATCTGCTACTAATTGTTCCTTGACCTTTTTTGTATCTTCTTTTATTTCTTTAATCGCTGCATCTTTAGTATCCTTTACTCCTTTTGCAACATCTGTTGCGGTGTCTTCTATCTTTTTCCCGATCTCTTTTGTTTCTGCTGCTACTTTTTCACCAGCCGTTTTCGCGATATCGGCAACTTTCTGGGCATCCTTGGAAATTTCCTCAACAATTTTATCCTTTTTGTCTTTTACTGCAGAAACTGTTTTATCCTTTACATCTTTTATGTCGATGGTAGCACTATCTATCGTTTTTTGAATATCTCCAACAACAGCATCTTTCTTATCCTTCATATCTTTAAAATCCGCGGCAACTTCTTCTTTAACACGTTCCTTTTCCAATGAAGCTTCTCTTTTTGTTTCATCTAAAAATTCTTTGACATCATCGGTGGCATCTCCTCCGATATGTTTTACGCCTTTGAATATGCCAGAAAGAAAACCACTAGTTTTTTCTTTAGCTTTTTTTGCTTTATCTTTCACGCCTTCTGCGGTTTCTGCAGCAGCATCAATATCAGCTGTTAATTTTTCTTTTACTTTTTTGGTATCCTTTTTCACTTCTTTAACTGTTGCATCTTTAGTATCCTTGACGGCTTGAGTAACATCTGCTGCAGTTTCCCCTATCTTCTCACCGATCGCTTTTGTTTCTAATGTTACTTTATCAGCAGCTGCTTTTGTGGTATCAGCAACTTTCTGGGCATCTTTGGAAACTTCCTCAATAATTTTATCTTTCTTGTCTTTTACTTCAGAAACTGTTTTATCCTTTGTGTCTTTCACTTTATCAACGGCTTTATCTGCTGCTTCTTTAACTTCGCTAACGACAGTATCCTTTTTATCTTTTACATCTTTCAAACCCGCAATGGCTTTTTCTTTGACACGTTCTTCTTCCAACGCAGCTTCTTTCTTCGTTTCATCCATGAATTCTTTAACATCATCTGCCGCATCTTCTACGGCATGTTTCGCGCCTTTAAAGATACCGGAGAAGAAACCACTTGTCTTTTCCTTGGCTTTCTTTGCTTCTTTCATTGCTTTATCTTTTGTACTGTCTGCAACTTCCGCAGCAGCTTCAGCACTTGCTGCCAATTTTTCTTTCACCGTTTTTGTATCTTCTTTTGCTTCTTTAATCGCTGCATCCTTAATGTCCTTAACATCTTGTACAACATCTGTCGCAGTTTCTTCTATCTTTTCACCGACCTTCTTTGTTTCAGCTGCTACTTTCTCACCAATTTCTTTCGCCGAATCAGCGATTTTCTCAGTATCTTTTGAAACTTTATCGACAACTTTATCTTTTTTATCTTTCACAGCAGAAATGGTTTTATCTTTTGCATCTTTTACATCAGTAATGGTTTTGTCTGCAGCTTGTTGAACATCGGTTACAACTGCGTCTTTTGTATCTTTTAAATCTTTGAGACCTGAGGCAATTTCTTCCTTAGCACGTTCTTTTTCTAAAGAAGCTTCTCTTCTTGTCTCATCCAAAAATTCCTTGACATCATCAGAGACATCTTCAGTAGTATGTTTCGCACCTTTAAAGATTCCAGAGAAGAAACCACTTGTTTTTTCTTTAGCTTTTTTCGCTTCTTTCGTTGTCTTCTCCTTTGTACTATCCACAGCTTCTGCAGCAGCAACTGCGCCTGTTGCCAATTTTTCTTTTATTTTTTTCGTGTCTTCCTTCACTTCTTTAACTGTCACATCTTTGGTATCTTTGGCAGCTTGCGCAATTTCCGTTGCAGTTTCTCCTATCTTTTCGCCAATTAATTTTGTTTCCGATGTTACTTTATCATGAGTTGCTTTTGTAGTATCTGCTATTTTCTGAGTATCCTTTGAAACTTCCTCAACAATTTTATCCTTTTTATCCTTTACAGCAGAAACTGTTTTATCCGTTGCATCTTTGATTTTATCGATAGCTTTATCTGTAGTTTCTTTGACTTCACTAACTATCAAATCTTTTTTATCTTTTACATCTTTCAAAGTTGTAGCAGCCTTTTCTTTAATACGTTCTTCTTCCATTGTAGCTTCTTTCTTCGTCTCATCCATGAATTCTTTAACATCATCTGCTGCATCTTCTACGGCGTGTTTCGCACCTTTAAAGATGCCGGAGAAGAAACCAGTTGTCTTTTCCTTGGCTTTCTTTGCCTCTTTTGCTACTTTATCTTTTGTACTATCTATGGCTTCTGTAGCAGCTTCAGTACTTGCTACCAACTTTTCTTTTGCTTTTTTTGTGTCTTCCTTTACTTCTTTAACTGCTGTGTCCTTAGCATCCTTTACACTCTGCGCAACATTTGTTGCGGTTTCTCCTACTTTCTCAGCAATAATTTTTGTTTCTGTTGCTGTTTTATCACCAGCTGTTTTTGTGGCGTCAACAACTTTTTGCGCATCTTCAGAAACTTCATCTATAAGCTGATCTTTTTTGTCTTTTAATGCAAATACTGTTTTATCCTTCGCTAACTTTGCATCAGCTGCAGTTTTATCTACAATCTTTTGGTCTGCAGTAACACCAGCATCCTGCTTATCTTTTAGATCTTTAAGAGTTGCGGTAGCTTCTTCCTTAGCATGTTCTTTCTCTAACAAAGCTTCTCTTTTTATTTCATCGAGAAATTCGTTAACATCAGTCACATCTGTTACAGCATGTTTCCCTCCTTTAAATATGCCGGAAAAGAAGCCACCCGTCTTTTCCTTGGCTTTCTTCGCTTCTTTAGCCGCTTTCTCCTTTGCACTATCCACAGTCTCAGCGACATCATCAGTACCTGCAGTTAATTTTTCCTTTATCTTTTGTGCATCTTCTTTCACTTCCTTTATCGTTGCATCCTTAGTATCCTTAATGCTGTCAACAATGTCCGCAGCCGTTTCATCTATCTTCTCAGCAATTTTCTTTGTTTCTGTTGCTACTGCAGAAGCTGTTTTATCCTTTACATCAGTAATAACTTGATCAGTAGCTTCTTGAATTTCAGTTGTGACAGTGTCCTTCTTATCTTTTAGATCCTTTAATCCTGCGGCAATCTTTTCTTTGGCACGTTCTTCCTCTAATGCAGCTTCTTTCTTTGTCTCATCCATGAATTCTTTAACGTCATCAGCTGCATCTTCTACAGCATGTTTCGCACCTTTAAAAATGCCGGAAAAGAAGCCACTTGTTTTTTCTTTAGCTTTCTTCGCTTCTTTCGTTGTTTTATCCTTTGCGCTATCCACAGTTTCCGCAGTAACATCAGCACTTGCTACCAATTGTTCTTTGACTTTTTTCGTATCTTCTTTCAGTTCTTTAACTGCTGTATCTTTCGTTTCCTTAACTTCCTGTGTAACATCGGTCACAGCTTCTTCTATTTTCTCACCAATCTTTTTCGTTTCCGCTGCTATTTTCTCGCCTGTTGTTTTTGTGATGTCACTAACTTTCTGAGCATCTTTCGAAACTTCATCCACAATTTTATCCTTTTTATCTTTAACAGCAGAAATTGCTTTATCCTTTGCATCTTTCACATCTGCGGCTTCATCAATCATCACAGCTGCGGCTTTATCAATAGCCTGCTGAGCATCAGCAACGGTAGCATCTTTTTTATCTTTTAAATCTTTGAGACCCGCCGCTGTCTCTTTTTTAACGTGTTCTTTTTCTAATGAAGCTTCTCTTTCCTTTTCATCCAAAACTTGTTTGGCATCATCAGCTGCGTCTTCTGCGGTATGCTTGACGCCTTTAAATATGCCGGAAAGAAAACCACTAGTTTTCTCTTTAGTTTTCTTTGCTTCTTTCGTCACTTTATCTTTCGCAGTGTCGATATCTGCTGCCAATTTTTCTTTTATTTTCTTTATTTCCTTTTTCACTTCTTTAACTGCTGCATCTTCACTATCCTTTACAGTTTGCGCAACATCTGCTGCAGTTTTTTCCATCTTTTCATCAATCTTTTTCGTTTCTGTTACAACTTTCTCTTCGACTGCTTTTGTAGTATCGACAACTTTTTGTGCATCTTTGGAAACTTCTTTTATAATTTTATCTTTTTTATCTTTTACATCAGATACAGCTTTATCTGTAATCTCTTTTGCCTCAGTTAAGGTTTTATCAGCAGCGTCTTTCATGTCAGTCACAACAGTATCTTTTTTATCTTTCAAATCATGAAGACCGACGACTTTTTCTTTAGCTCGCTCTTGTTCTATAGCAGCTTCCTTCTTTGTTTCATCTGCAAAGTAGTGCACATCATCAGATACTTCTTCTGCAGCGTGCTTTGTACTTTTAAATATTCCCGAAAGAAAGCCGCTGCCTTTTTCCTTAGCTTTTTTTCCTTCCTTAGTTATTTTATCTTTTGTAGTTACAGCACTTTCTACCGCGGCGTCAACTTCTGTTTTTATCTTCTCTTTCGTTATTTGTACATCTTCTTTAATTTCCTTTGTTACACTATCCTTAGTATCAGTAATACCTTCCGCGATATCGTCGGCAATTTTCTTCGTATCCGTAATTACTTTATCGCTTGTCGCTTTAGTGACGTCAGCAATTTTCTCGACTTGGTCGGTTATTTTCTCAGCCACATCGTCTTTCACTTCTTTTACTTCGGCAACGATGTCGTCTGTTTTGTGCTTCAAATCTTTCAGTTGAGCTTCCGCTGCCTCCTTGGCGCGAGCCTGCTCTAATGCTGAATCCTTTCTCGTTTCCTCCAAAAAATCTTTTATATCATCGGCTGTGCTGTCCACGGAATGTTTCGATCCTCTAAATATTCCCGAGAAGAAGCCACCAGTCTTGTCTTTAACTTTTTTGCCTCTTTAGTGGCCTTATTCTTAGCAACCTCTGCTGACTCCGAAACAGATTCAGCTTTGGCCGCCATTTTTTCTTTTACAACCTTAGCATCTTCTTTTGCTTCCGAAACAAGAGCATCTTTAATGTCCTTCGCATCACGCTCAACATCCGCTACGGAGGTTTCTACTCTTTCAGTAATTTCCTTGGTCTTCGCGACTATGCCATCACCAGCTGCTTTCAAATCATGTGTCACTTTTTCTGCATCTTTGACAGCCGTATCTACAAACTTGTCTTTCGCATCTTTCGCGGTAGAAACTAATTTATCCTTGGCATCTTTTGCATTCTCGATAGTTTTATCTGCGGCATCCTTTGTACCTTGAATTACATCATCTTTTTTCTGTTTTAAGGCTTCCAATTCTTCAATGGTTTCCTTTTTCGTCTCACTTATATGTTCTTTTACGTCTTCAGATACATCGTCCACAGCATGTTTCGCACCCTTGAATATACCAGAAAGAAAACCACTAGCCTTTTCTTTCGTTTTCTTTGTCTCCTTTACTGCTTTATCCTTTGCACTGTCCACAGACTGCGCAGCAGAGTCAGCGCCAGCTGCTAATTTATCTTTTACCAATTTTATATCCTCTTTCACTTCCTTAACTGTTGCGTCCTTAGCATCTTTTATATCCTGCGCAACATCTGACGCAGCATCTCCTACTTTCTCACCAATCTTCTTTGCCTCTGCTCCAACTTTTTGCTTGTCTTTGGAAATTTTTTCTATAGCTTCACCTTTCTTGTCTTTAACAGCAGCAACTGTTTTATCTTTTGCATCTTTCGCATCAGCGACAGTTCTTTCTGCTACTTCTTGAACTTCGACTGAGACAGCATCCTTCTTACTTTTCATATCCTTAAGTCCCGCAGCAATTTTCTCTTTGGCACGGTCTTCTTTTAAAGCAGCTTCCTTTTTCGTCTCATCTAAAAATTCTTTTACGTCGTCAGCTGCATCTTCTACGGCGTGTTTCGCACCTTTAAATATCCCAGAAAAGAAACTACCAGCTTTTTCCTTAGCTTTCTTCGCTTCTTTCGTCGCTTTATCCTTTGTACTATCCACAGTTTCTGCAGCAGCATCAGCACCTGCTGCTAATTGTTCCTTGACCTTTTTTGTATCTTCTTTTACTTCTTTAATCGCTGCATCCTTAGTGTGTTTTATTCCTTTTGCAACGTCTGTTGCGGTGTCTTCTATCTTTTCCCCGATCTCTTTTGTTTCTGTTGCTACTTTTTCACCAGCCGTTTTCGCGGTATCGGCAACTTTCTGGGCATCCTTAGAAACTTCCTCAATAATTTTATCCTTTTTGTCTTTTACTGCAGAAACTGTTTTATCCTTTGCATCTTTTACATCGGTGGTAGCACTATCTATCGTTTTTTGAATATCTCCAATAACAGCATCTTCCTTATCCTTCAAATCTTTAAGATCCGCGGCAACTTCTTCTTTAACACGTTCCTTTTCCAATGAAGCTTCTCTTTTTGTTTCATCTAAAAATTCTTTGACATCATCAGTGGCATCTCCTACGGTATGTTTTACGCCTTTGAATATGCCAGAAAGGAAACCACTAGTTTTTTCTTTAGCTTTTTTCGCTTTATCTTTCACGCCCTCTGCGATTTCTGCAGCAGTATCAACATCAGCTGCTAGTTTTTCTTTTGCTTTTTTGGTGTCCTTTTTCACTTCTTTAACTGTTGCATCTTTAGTATCCTTGACGGCTTGAGTAACATCTGCTGCAGTTTCCCCTATCTTCTCACCGATCGCTTTTGTTTCTGATGTTACTTTATCAGCAGCTGCTTTTGTGGTATCAGCAACTTTCTGGGCATCTTTGGAAACTTCCTCAATAATTTTATCTTTCTTGTCTTTTACTTCAGAAATTGTTTTATCCTTTGTGTCTTTCACTTTATCAACGGCTTTGTCTGCTACTTCCTTAACTTCGCTAACGACAGTGTCCTTTTTATCTTTTACATCTTTCAAACCTGCAATGGCTTTCTCTTTGACACGTTCTTCTTCCAACGCAGCTTCTTTCTTCGTTTCATCCATGAATTCTTTAACATCATCTGCCGCATCTTCTACGGCGTGTTTCGCGCCTTTAAAGATACCGGAAAAGAAACCACTTGTCTTTTCCTTGGCTTTCTTTGCTTCTTTCATTGCTTTATCTTTTGTACTGTCTGCAGCTTCCGCAGCGGCTTCAGCACCTGCTGCCAATTTTTCTTTCACCATTTTTGTATCTTCTTTTGCTTCTTTGACCGCTGCATCTTTAGTGTCCTTAACGTCTTGTACAACATCTGCCGCAGTTTCTTCTATCTTTTCACCGGCCTTCTTTGCTTCAGCTACTACTTTCTCACCAGTTTCTTTCGCCGAATCAGCGACTTTCTGAGCATCTTTTGAAACTTTATCGACAACTTTATCCTTTTTATCTTTTACGGCAGAAATGGTTTTATCTTTTACGTCAGTTACAGCTTTGTCTGCGGCTTGTTGAACATTGGTTACAGCTGCGTCTTTTGTATCTTTTAAATCTTTGAGACCTAAGACAATTTCTTCCTTAGCACGTTCTTTTTCTAAAGAAGCTTCTCTTCTTGTCTCATCCAAAAATTCCTTGACATCATCGGAAACATCTTCAGTAGTGTGTTTCGCACCTTTAAAGATTCCAGAGAAGAAACCACTGGCTTTCTCTTTAGCTTTCTTCGCCTCTTTCGTTGCTTTCTCCTTTGTATTATTCACAACTTCTGCAGCAGCAACTGCTCCTGTGGCTAATTTTTCTTTTACTTTCTTTGTATCTTCCTTCACTTCTTTAACTGTTGTATCTTTAGTATCTTTTACATCTTGTGCAACACCTGTTGCGATTTCATCTATTTTTTTACCAATTTTTTTTGTTTCTTCTGTTACTTTCTCACCCGTTGCTTTTGTGGTGTCCGCAACTTTCTGCGCATCCTTTGATACTTCTTCTACAATTTTGTCCTTTTTGTCTTTAATAGTAGAAATTGTTTTATCTTTTGCATCTTTCATGTCTGTTGCAACTTGATCCTTAGCTTCTCGAATATCTTGTACAACTTCATCCTTCTTATCTTTCAAATCTTTAACTTCTGTAGCGATCTTTTTTCTGGCGCGTTCTTCTTCTACCTCAGCTTCCTTTTTCGTCTCGTCTAAAAATTCTTTTACGTCGTCGGCTACTTCTTCTGCGGCATGTTTTGTTCCTTTAAATATGCCGGAAAAGAAGCCACTTGTTTTTTCCTTAATTTTCTTCGCTTCTTTCGTCGCTTTATCCTTTGCGCTATCCACAGTTTCCGCAGCAGCATCAGCACCTCCTGCTAATTGTTCTTTGACTTTTTTTGTATCTTCTTTTACTTCTTTAATCGCTGCATCCTTAGTGTCCTTAACTCCTTTTGCAACATCTGTTGCGGTGTCTTCTATCTTTTCTCCGATCTTCTTCGTTTCTGCTATTTTTTCACCAGCTGCTTTCGTGGTATCGATAACTTTTTGGGCATCTTTGGAAACTTCCTCGATAATTTTATCTTTCTTGTCTTTTACTGCAGAAACTGTTTTATCTTTTGCATCTTTTGCTTTATCTACAGCTTTATCTGCTGCTTCTTTAACTTCGCTAATGACTATATCTTTTTTTTCTTTTAAATCTTTTAAACCAGCAGCAGTCTTTTCTTTGGCACGTTCTTCTTCTAATTGAGTTTCCTTTTTTGTTTCGTCCATGAATTCTTTAACGTCGTCTGCTGCATCTTCTACTGCATGTTTTGTACCCTTGAATATGCCTGAGAAGAACCCGATTCCTTTTTCTTTAGCTTTTTTTGCTTCTTTAGTAGTCTTGTCCTTGGCAGATGTTGCGACATCCGCAGTTGATTCAACATCAGAGATTACTTTTTCTTTCACAGCTTTAATATCTTCCTTTACCTCTGTAGTAACTGCTTCTTTAATTTCCTTGCCTGCTTGCACAGCATCTTTCGCAGTTGTTTCTATTTTCTCGCTTACTTTTTTTGTATCTGTCACAACCTTGTCGGTAGCTTCTTTTGCGTCATCCGCCACTTTTTCCATGTCTTTTGAAATCTTTTCCGTGACTTTTTCCTTCTCGTTTTTTACGGCAGACACTGTTTTGTCTTTGGCATCTTTAATGTCAATTACAGCTTTATCAACGACGTCTTTCGTATCCGCTACTAAATCATCTTTCTTCTGTTCCAAGTCTTTCAATCCAGCGGTTGCCGCTTCTTTGGCTCGCGCTTCTTCCAAAATAGCTTCTTTCTTTGTATCATCCAAGAATTCCTTGACATCATCTGATACTTCTTCCATGGCATGTTTCGCACCTTTGAATATTCCTGATAGGAATCCTGATCCTTTCTCTTTTGTCTTCTTTGTTTCCTTTGTCGTTTTCTCTTTCACAGCCTCAGCGCTATCAGTAACATCACGTGTTTTTTCCTCTATTTTTTTGCTAATTACGTCTTTACCATCCTTGATGGCTTTACCTGTGCCTTCTGCCGCAATCGCTATGGGTTGTTCAATTTTTTTTGACTGCAATTTATCTTCCTTATTTTTCATTTCAGAGGTTTTATCTGCTTCCAATTCACCCATAATATTTGCCACGTTCCGTGAATCTTCCAGAAACTTTGTAGTTACTTCTCGTAAATCCTCTTGGCCACTGTCTGGCAACTCAATCGATGGTGTCTTCTCCTTGGATCTGCTCCTGGATCTGGAACTTCTCGCTTGTTTGGGACTTCTGAATATACCGAAAATGCCTCCTTTATCCTTTTCAACAATTTCATCCTCGAGAATGACAGATTTTTTGATCTCTTCATGATCTACAGGTGGCGTCTTCGTAATACTTTCCGATACCTTTTCTTCAACTGGATGCTGCAGATTCTCTGTCATCTGTCTCGTATCCTCCAAAAGTTTCGCTGTTGCCAATCGAACCTCTTCATCTCCGCTATCGAAGGAGGTTTCCTTCGAAGAACTTTGCTCTCGGGATCTGCTTCTCTTCTTACTCTTCAATTTAGGGCTCTTGAACATACCGAAGAAGCCACCACTCCTTTCCTTGGTATCCTCGCCTTCCGATTCAGGTGCTTTCGGTTCTGACGTATCAGATTTCACCTCTGCAGCGGATTTTTCCACGTCTTTTTTCTCCTCCTTCTGATCCTTTTCCTTGTCAACATCCGCTTTTCCATTTGTCTCTTCGTGGATAATAGTCTTCTCGATTTTTGTCGTTTGAACAACATCGTAAGACTTACCGATTTTGTCCGCGGGAATATCGGCGTCGTAATAAGTAGTCGACACAAAAGTACGTACCTCTTCTTTGGGAGTGACTTTTGTACTGTCACTTTTATACGTGACCGGTAATACGCTTGTATCAGCAACCTTTCGCGTGTCATCTAAGAACTTTTCTGTCACCGCTTTAACTTCCTCGTCGCCACTATCGAAGGACGTTTCCTTCGATTTGCCGAACTTCTTATCCTTAGATTTGGGACTCTTGAAAATGCCGAAAAAGCCGCCTTTCTCCTTCGTTTGGTCTTCCTCTTTTTCATCGTCTTTGCCGGATGGTTGCTCACTCGTTGGAGCAACGATCTTCTCTTTGTTTTTGGCATCTTCCACGTCAGTCTTCACAGGTTTCTCAACCTGTTTTTCTTCTGCAGTAGGCACTTCGGCGGTCTTGGATACTTCGGTCTCCTTCTCTTTTTCATTTAGTTTCTTTTGTAATTCTAATAACTCTTCCTTTTCCTTCGCGATTGCTGCCAGCCTCTTCTTCTCTTTCTTCGCAATTTGTTCCGTGCTCTCTTTAGGTTTCTCGACATGAATAACAGGTACGGAAGCTCCGTCTTCTTCCTTCTTAACTTTGCTTTTGAACAAACTCGAGAAAAAGCTCGATTTGTCTTTGCCATCATCGTCGCTCTCAACAACTTCCTTCTTATCTTCCTTTTCCACAGGTTTATCCAGACCCTCATAGGGTACATGCATACCTGCGGCGACTCGTCTAGAATCCTCTAAGAATTCCACGGTAGCTAATCTTACGTCGGGTGCAGTTGTAATTTCCGGTAATTTGCTATCGAAATGCGAGTCTGTGATTTCACTAGCAGGATGTTCAGGGACTTTCTCTTCTGAGACTTTCATTAAAACAGCTTTCGATTCCTCGTCGCTGTCGAAAGACGTGTCTTTTGAGCCCTTCTTGGCTCTCTTCAATTTGGAGCCTTTGAAAATCCCCGAAAATATTCCACCGCTCTTATCCTTCATTTTCTTCGCCTCTTCGTCTGATTTTTCTTCCGCGCTGTCTGGATGTTGTACGCTGTAAACGTCTTCATAAGCCGATGCTTTTGTAGTTTTCATATCTTTATCTTTATCCTTATCCTTGTCCTTGTCTTTATCCTTGTCCGCAGGAATTTTTATTTCTGGCTTTTTCTGATCAGTTCGAACTACCCTTTCGACTGTCGTCTTTTGCGTGACACTCGCATCCGCGGGAATTGCGCCCTGAGCTAACTTTTCGTCAACTTCCTTACCCTCCTTAGATAGTTTCTCTTTTTCGCTAACAACGTCCTTCTTTTCGGGGGAAACAATCACTGTTTCTTTCGTGGTCACAGTCGGCGTCTGTTTTATTACCGTGGTCTTAGTGACCACCGTCTGACCTACTTTCGGATCGCCACTAACGGAAACTACTGTCTTCGAAGTGCTAACTTTAGGATCCGGCTTCGCGCCGCGATACTCCCTAATCATCGGCGGCTCGATGCAAGGGATTTTTTCCGGTTCCGAAACAATACCTTCCGGCTCGACGGCCGTTTGACTTAATTGAACATTAATCACAGTCTGCCCTACCGCACCCCGCGCCTCTTTACTGTCCCGCGCATCATCATCATCATAAACCACCGACCACCCTTCCTTCGCTAACTTCCCCTTCTCTTTCTCTGCGTCTGCTATTACACCTGTTAATTAAGTATAATATATTTTAGGCATCTGTATATGTAATAAAAAATAAAGGAACACAATTTTATTTGTCAATTTCGTCATCATTAGTGTAAGCTGGCTCGCTCTTTGATTGCTCTTTTGATTGAACTGCGGTTAGACTGTAGTAGTGTGGTTTGTGCGTGAAGTGTATGTGCTGTGGAGCAGCCATCTTTTCACTATGTCGTTATATACGTAAGGCAGGTATGATTCAAGAAAGAGAAGTAACATCAATCGTTACAATTAATACCCGATGAAAACGAACTTTCCATCCACGCGTACTTTGACTCTTCAACAAATTGCATCGAAACGTTCTCAGTAGCTTGCAATTTCAAAATGATTCTTGATGAGAGTATTTCGATTAGTATTATATCGACTATGAAATGAACGCTGAAGAGAATCAAAATGAAGCTGTTAGAGAATATAAACGATAGTAGTATATTCAGCTTCGCAAAGAACTCTTGATTATTATTTTAAGTGAGAACAACAATCGATTATTATTAGTAAATTTTAATCTATCAGCTATGAACAAACGAAACAATATCCTAACGGCCTGCACGACAACGTCTAGTGATCTTTTCTAATGACAGCTGCTCCGTGCGCGCACACAATTGGGCCACACATATTGGCCATTCATGCAACGCCAAATAATTGCAGCGAAACCTTGCTGAAACAAATTAATCTAAAAGTGTCGCGGAGTATTAAGGATATTAGTGGGGATGATTAATAAGATATAAAAATTATTGGTATAATAATATAAGTAATAGCTGCTTGAGATATGCCGAGATAAAATAATCCGTTATATATATTAAAACAAAAGCAAGCTGGTAAAATTCCGAAGAGATCCGCATTTGGCTTCTAGAACCTGTGAGTGAGTCGACGGCATAGAGACAAATGTTTAGTGCTCACGTACGTTACTTCCACTCCGCAAAACGTACAGTGCTCTTTATAAGCTGAGATAAATTTTATGCATTGATATGTATATGTGAATCGTGTCCAGAATCATTGTATCGTTAGAATAATAATAATAATAATAATAATAATAATAATAATAATAATAATAATAATAATAATAATATCCTTATTTATGTACTAGCGTTTAATCGACCGCAACGTTTCGCTGAAATAAGATCGTGCACATCGTTGATTATACTTACGTAAAAATTAAAGTTTGCATCAACGACGACAATAGGTCATAAATAAAAATTCAATATATATATATATATATATAAGATAGATCAGCATTTGAGAGATATATCTACTTAGAAACTAGGTTGTTGGCATGTAGTTTCTCTATATACATATACGTCAATATAATTAAAATTAAATAAGTACGCGTGCATTTGTTGCGATATAATTGCATAATGGTGATACTTATCATTTTACAAATAAAGAGATAATCATCTATAAGAATATATAAGAAAATTCACCAAAGAATATTATTAAGAGAGAAGACAATAATATCGAACGCGCAAATAAATACAAAGCTATATATAGTTATATATCTCGTGCATTGTTCAAAAAAGTATTTTAAGCAAGTACATTTCATAACTGTATCTATAACTATGAACACGATATCACCAAGGAAAAGAGGCATAAGTATCTCCGATCTAGCGAGGTCTGTAGCGAGTCCGACGCAGTTCGTCGACAGATGGTTAATACGAATAAGTCGATTCCCTAACAGTCGATTCCATCAAGCGTGCGCCCGCAGCATTAATCCAATCATGCTGCTAAATTTTAAGTTTATATATGTATATATAAATGCGTGGTCCCGCATTTGGCGTTGTAGCTCCGCTAAAATCAATTAATGACTGCACGCTTTTTGCCAGTAGTAAGCACGGCCCCTCAACCCACCATTCATTCCAATCACTTTCAGGCTCACTTACCAGAGACTATCTTGTTGGCGTCGGCGATCGCTTTCTGGCGTTTTGTCTCCGGATCATCCAGTTCGTCGCGCGACTTTTTACTCATCGTGTCGACCGTGTGGCATTTGTGCTCAAGGTAATCAGCCATCATGTCGCCGAGCTCTTTCTCGTCGCTCGCGTATTTGTCTTTGATGGGGGTCGAGGTTCCGTTGAATACAGTGCCATTTGTGAGTGTGATGTGCTCTGTGACTGTGAAGTGCAGAAAATGCGTAAACGAAGAGACACAGAGGTAACACGAACTGATGTGAGACGTTGCATGACGAATGTAACGGATATACGTGGCCACAGTAAGATTGCCCGTTGCAAGCGTTGACTAATATGTTTTCTAGGTAAGCATGAATAAAAGTGTTCATTTCTGTGTATCGTCATAGCTAATGACACGCGTTGTGGTGTGCATTCTTCACTCAAATATCGTGGATGATCGTGACGTCACAGTTTTATTGCAGTATGTAATGTAGTATAAGAAAATGGAAGAAAATGTCGAATAATATCGAATCATTTCTAATAAATCGTAAAAACGCAATGCAAGAGCGAGTAATAATAAAGTTAACTTTATAGATTTTCCTCTTATACTTACATCTATAACGCGCGTTGCCAGTGAGATCCTCGACTGATTCAGAGTCCTAGAACAAAGAGAGAATTGTGCTTTATCTCGGCAATTATAAGAATCCCACGCTTATGGAGAAGGAGTTATTTGAGTAAATTACTCTTATGTATAAGTCTTTTAACTGTTGTAGCATACATAAAAGAACTATTACGAAATATAAAGATCATATCTTCTTCAATTATGTTCAATAATAACATTCACTAGATAGAAGAATAGAATCAAGCAATAAAACATCATCTTTTGTCAATGGTAATTTGTTTTTTCACGTGTCGATTGTAATTATGCATGTAGATTCTTGGTTTGCATAAAATACGCACCTTCATTCTATCAGGCTCTTCGTAATCAGGATCCATCTTAGGATCCATAGTTGCATCACGACGAAGTGACGTGTTTCTCGACGGCCCCAATTCCTCCTTCAATGAGTCAAATCCTGGTTGATCTAGCCTAACTCTTGCCACAGCTTTTTCAACATCGTCAGTCACTAATTCGACATTAAAGATACATTTATTCACTATATCTTCTCGTCCGATCTTATTAAGAGCTTTCTCTAATGTGTTTCCTGCGAATAAAGAAACGACACGTGATATTTCGATTACGATCAATTTCAGAAACGCATAATTCAATATATTAAAAATATTTATTATAATATATTTAATATTTTTAAAACTATTATATTTTAAATGTTTAATTTTTTAATATCACAAGTTTTAATAAATTTTAGAAGGATATGTTATCGACATTTATATTCATCAAAATTTATAATTGATCATATTACTTGTTGTTTCTTGCTATTTCTTTTTTTATAACCAATTATATTCGTTTGCTTTTTCGTATTTGTCACAGACCTGAATGTATTGCACATTGTGGACGTAAGCAAGGACATCTTCGAAATATTAATAGGAGTTCGCTCGTATAATAATTTTCATTTTCATATTCTTGATATAAAGATATAAACATTGTTTCTTATGATTTTTTTTTATTATAACAAAATTAAAATCTAGAAACAATTTGAAACAAAACAGTCTTATAAAATGTATTACTTCATCGCGAGAGCGTCAGGAAACTAGTTTCAACCTTGACAATATAGATTTTGATATAGGAATATAATGTGGCGATTTATGAAACTAGTACAAATAAAAAAGCGACGGTAAACACTCAGATTTTAATCACTTTCACTGCGCGACTGCCGGTTACGTACTGCGGAATCACAACCGCTTGTTATTTTTGCCGATTGCAGAAACATTGCGAGTTATGTGCGAGTCAATGCCATTAGTGAGAAGGAGAGGGAATGAAACGTATGGACTTATGTCAGGCATAATAATGCACAGTGAGATCATCACATATCTACGTTGCTAGGAGAGATTCCTTACGTCTGACTCAACTATAGTGCGCGTGTCTAATTAATTGACCTTGCTAGGAAACAGGTTTTTTAAAAGTTATGAAGGTAGCTACCGCAGTTCTCATTCATCGAAATTTAACACGCTACGCTGGTTTAATGATGTAAAAGTAAATAAATTGCGTAACAAACTCACCTGTGGCTTTGCTTCCACTATTCTGCCAAATTTTGAACATGGCAGCAGCCTGTTGCGCAGGTTGGTCGGGATATTCTTGTTTTATTAGAGTCACATCGTTGGGTGGAATATTCAACTCTTCCGCTAATGATTCCCAATCTTTATCCAATAAATTAGCAATATCAGTTAAACGGATAGTCGCTCTGTGTATAGCATCTGGTCTACCTGTAAGTAATATCCTCTGTAAAGTAAAGAACTTTGGTGACATATAGCATTAATAATTAATTTTTATTTATTATTCGCGTACTTATTCCACCATCACGCAAGAAACTGTAATTCTTTGATAGTTCCAATAAATCGAGTTCGGAGACCGCGGTGTCTGGAGAAATCTTCTCCGGCAACAAAATATTTAGTGTACAGATAGGCGTTTGCGGCAGTTCACCCCTTGGAACTTTAGGCTCGCTCATAAACATGATTCGGCCCATCATATCCGCGGCATCCGGATCCTTTATTCTCGCGGTAAATGGGACCCTATTTTCCTTGAAGGCTCTGAACGGTAGTTGCAATTGTTCACCCGTTTTCAGAACAGGAACGAGATTTCCCGAAAATTCCATGTATTGCGTTTTTCCTTCAAGAACCTTCAAGAACAGCATCAAATTAACTTTAATGACATCTTAAGTAACTAAAAAGCTATGCATTATGCATAACATGCGAATATTTCAATGGCAATCTTAATTTTTATCGCCGACAATTACCTCGACATCTCTACTCTTAGCAACTTCTGTAAAATGTTCCTGGTGCTCTAAAGTTTTGTCCTCTTTATCGTCGGTCATACAGAATACACGTAATCTCGCTTCCAATGGATCTACTCGTTTCGCAAATACTACGAATCTATCGGAAAATAAGCATTAAAGTATTTATGTTCTGTACAATTTGCATTTGTAATTTGTTACTGAATCTACGTATCATGTTACATCAGCTGGAACATACTTAGCCATGAACGGCACATGTGTTGCATGTGTGTAGAGTTCCGTGGCCATTTTCGTGGCTTCGGAGATGTTACGGCAGTCCATTAACCAGAAGCGGGCGGAAACTGTGGTGGTGAAGGAAACGCAATCTTTCACAAAGGTCAACGGCGTCGAGCCTGTGACGTCCTCCCAGACTGCCCGAGTCTGACCCCCTGAACGACATACATGCCAAGTCCAATAACATTATTAAAATATGTCCGTGTTAGAAATGCGCAGGTGACAAAAGTGAAATATATGTGGTATATTTTTGTACGACCGAGATTAAATACGGATGATTAACAATCATGATGCGAATTGTTGCCTATGTGTAAAAATAATAATGTCAGGTATACTGGTATCAATCGATAATTATCAGCCTGAAGAAACTTACGCATTTAAAAACGGTCGCCGTAAGTGCGCTGTTGTTAAGTGCTTTTTATCAATGTGTGAATATATTATGTGAAGGTATAAGTGGCCGAGATTGAATGACAATGCTTGCAAAATCAAAAAGAAGCGCTATATACGAAATGTGAAAGCAATCATAGGTATATGGGTTCAAGATAATGATTGAGTGATAATAGAAAATATAATATCAACACGTGTTGTCATTTTATAGAAAATGAATTCAAATAATAACATTAAATTAGATAAAAATCCGAAACAAGTATAAATTTTTTGGAAATGATTTTGTAGATATTGTAGAAATATTTAAGATATAAATATTCTTAACAAATAATTCTTAACAAATTAAAATAAACTTAAATATGATAGTATTAAATATTCATGTGTATGTAATATTATAATATAAATCCTTTAGACTATAATCATATTATAAAACATTATATAATCTAATATATATATATATATATATATATATATATATATATATATATATATATATATATATATATATATATAATATCATGATATATATAAGTACAATTTTATATAAATTACAAATTTCTAATATGTCAAAGATTACCAGACAAACGAATGTGCTGAAACAAAAACTTTGAAGTTAACTCTTAACAATCGACTAGGTATATTAAAATGTTATCTACATTAATTGATAATCCATACCTAAATGACTCAATCCTAACAATATGCAAGCATTAACAATGAATCACAACAAGATATGTATACAATAATGATACTCAACGAAAGGTTTCTATGAAACATGCAGCTACCATCTCCCTTTTAAATCTCTATCCGAAGATTTTCGGGACATTTTTCGATAATATAAAATAAACGAGAAATAGAGACAAAAAATTGTTCACGACAAAACATAACATATCTTCCAGCATTCACATACATAAATCGGTTTTCTTCGAGTTTTGAGTGAAACTCTCATATTGGAACATCTTTACACGCTAGTGCAAGTTACGAATCGTACAGTCCGTTTACCATTTTACTAAACACAAACAAGTTGCAAATGTGCTACTACCATTTAAGCAACCTTCTCGTGCAACGTATGATACTTGGTTCGCAATTCCGAGCGACCTGAAAACAGACGAAATAGCCTACCGACTGCATTCATGCCTGCTAAACTACAATAACCGATATCCGATATGCGCACTGAGGTAAATTCGGCGTATGTGTACGCCAAATTGTATGCGGCGTATAATATTAGTTCCAGCCATTTATCGGTAAGAGATTCTCCAGTAAGACGGTAGGCTGCTCTACAATGTTACGTGCAAGCATATATTACCAGTTATGCTGCACAGGAGTCTCAAAGTAGGCGCATCTCCGGAATACTGGTTGATCATGCCTTTGTTGGCCGCCTGTGGTACTGGAATAGTTAAAGTTATCGGTTTGTGGAACTTTCTTCGCCTTGGCTCGACAGTAACGATCGGCGATACGGCGACTCTGTTTCCGAGTAACTTGGCTACGAGATCCGCCGGTATAGGATGTGCCTGCATGTAACAATAACTTCTTTACTGAATGCCATAATTTAGAAGAGTATTCTTTAAAGAATATTAATATTAAATGTAATAAATTATTTATTTTTTCTTCGTGAATGAAAAATCAATTTTTTAATCAAACACAGAAACGCAGAATTATTATATTATTAAAAAAATTTTGAAACATTTATATAATTCATTTCTTCGTATTTAAATATCAAGGATACAGATAGATGAAGAAAAGTAAGAAAATACCTGCAGACCAACTCTGATCTTCTTAGTAAGGGCCGCTTGCGGGAAGACAGCTTGTACTTGTGGTACAGCAGATGACGACACGGTGCCGCCTTCGGGACCAACCGCATGGACCTCTTGCCGGATGCGAGATACCACCGCGAAGTAATGCGGGAAATCTACGGTGAGTATCCTCACGATACGAGACGTCTGGAGATCTTCCAGCTGGCTTAACTCTGGAAAGACATATTCGATTAGCTCAGTATTTTCTGTGTCATACGGGACTCACAGAAAGAAAGTTGCTCGTATCATACCTTCTCCCTCAAAGCTCTCGTTAAGCACGTCCTGGACAGCCTCCTCGCTGGCTTCCAAGGTGTGCTCGCGCCAGGTCTCCCCGTTGTCCGATCGTAAAATCACTATTTCCCGTTCCTTTCCGCGTAGCGATGCAAAATGTGGCACCTCTATAATAACGGGGCTAAACAAAAATTGGATAATGAAAAATTTTTTTATGTTCTTTTTGTCGAAAATTACATAATAAAATATATCATTCCGCGTTACAGGAAATAAATGAGTTTTCTGTTGCTTTGCCTATCGTTAGTCCGAAATTATGCGATAAATGTATAATGTTACAGGCTTGACTGGTGGAATCGTGGAAGAGACTTACCCTAGGAATTTTGCACCCACAGGACCCAACTCGAGGATGCGACTGGCCAAGGCTTCTCCCTCCATCAAGGGTGGTGGATTGGTCAGTTTGTCTCTCCTCAGATATCTACATGTGACACGCATGGGCATCGCGGCCTTACGTGGTGGGACAATCACGCGGACACCGCTATGCCTGCATCCGCGCATCGCACCGCCTCTTGCGTCCACCAAGAAGGAAACCAGGAAGCTGAGGACATTTCGAAAGCGCGTTACGTTTCGGCCTTGTGATACGCCGCGAAGAATCGTCCCGAATATTTAAAAAAAAAAATGGCAATAAAAAAATGCATTATATACGTGGAGGTTGCTTGCAAAAGATGCAGAGTCAATGCTTATCTCAAGTATCCAAGATACGTGTGTCCTCGGCATTTTATTTTTGTCAAACGCGTCACCTGACACCGTCGAGCTATTGAATTTTTATAGCATTTTATATTTTATTAATTTTCCCATATATGAAAAAAATAGAGTAAATTTATCATCACATATTTGCATTCTGAAAGATTCCGCAGTGGACAACATACAAAAAAAAAAAAATGGAAAATTTCTAATCGTTACAATAATTCTCGATCACGAAAATTTCACGAAAACGGATATCATAAATTAAAAGTCGAGCTTATACATATATATGTAACTGTTTTTTAATTTTAATAATATTGTCAGTCACAATGTACCTATATAATCGCTGATGTGAATCAACTAAAAGTGCGCAAAGCCACAAAGCATAATTTTCGAGGAATTGGTACTATAAAGCGTGATATCCGTGAACCGGAAATTATGACGATCCATGAAGGTCTTGTTAAAACTTAAAAAAACTTAGTTAAAAAAACTTAGAAACGAACTGCTCTTTAGTTACGTTAATATCGTAGCATCATCAGCTGTAACATCTTTCCTATAATAATGACAGTGAGATAATTCATACTGTCGACATTTATTATTGTGCATAAATGTAATTACTTAGACGCAATGTAACGTGAGTAAGATTATGCGACACAGTGAGGTGGTGTATACGGCAAAAAAAGAGATAAATAAAACAGCCATCTATGTCGGATCTGCGTGGACATTTTTATGAGATGACAATGAGCGGCGCGAGGTGTATGCTGGTGTGTGTGTGTGTGTGTGTGTGTGTGTGTGTGTGTGTGTGTGTGTGTGTGTGTGTGTGTGTGTGTAATACGGCAAAATAAGAGATAAATGAAACGGCTACGTATGTGGGTCAGATCTATTCCTACGTGAGGCGTTTGTCGAATGGGTGTGATATAGCCTTAAGCGCCAAACTACCGACATTGAAGGCAACGAAAGGGTCATCTAACTCGATTCAAACGAATTGGATCCATTCAGTCGCTCTCAACTGCCACATTACGGCGATACGCCGGCGCTGAGAGTCCCACTGATGAGCCTGTGTTATATTCACAGAAGAATTGTGCAATGCGCACATCGCGCGGCGAACGCAAACTCGGACGCAAGGACGTCTCTCGCGGACACTCGGTTAGGTTATTGCGGTCGCTCGAGTACGGAACTGTTAAAGAATAGCCACAGTCAACTTGTTTTCATTCACTCTTTTCTCATTGTAAATTCCAATCTAAATTCATCAGCATACCCGTATCCCTATCATTACGAATAAATTCAATATCGAGAGTAGCGTAACATTAAAGATAAGATGCGAAAGTAACTGTTTCACTAATCGCGCTAATTTTTTCACGTAAAATTTTATCGATTTCTCGAAGGAACGAGTTTGTCCTATGAGTCATCTCTTTCGAGCTGCGCATTCGCCGTGCGACGTACGGTGTTTTTAGAAATAAGAATCAGCGGCTACAGGGGGATTGTGCGGCGACAAATATAGGCTGTGTGTACGACGTGAAGGAAGAATAAAATCGAAAGAAAATCGAGTGGTGTATGTACACGGCAAACTGCAGAAGCTAAAATTGATGAGAAGATCACTTACTTTCTCCACTGTGGAATTCTGCGAGTAGCACAAATAAAATAACAGAGAGGATCGGGAACAAAATAAAAAACGCGTTAGTATTCGTTCATAAACATGACGATGAGATGATATAACAGAGAGATGAAATTGCGATATATCGCTAATATCAGCACATTTTTACAGAATTTTCGTTCGTTATCAAATTCATAGTCAGCTCGATCAGCACGTTTGATTCTTTATATTCTTTCCGTTTTCTTTTTTTTTTGTTTCTTTTGTAAAATGTGCTCCTATTCGTGATGATGATGATGATGATGATGATGATTGTCGCTGATCACTTCGTAAAGTGCACTCATCACACGCAAGCCACTTCTTTTCTATTGTACACGACTACGAAACGAGAAATAACAATAATAAATATGTATTATAGTAAAGAGAGATAGAAACGCAACACTCACACTCTGCGGAAAGAAGACATATCTCGCGGAGGAAACTTAAAATAACGACGTCCCGAAATCTGTTGTGTCTCTTCAATTATAATTTTATCATCGTTAAATCATACACGAATTTCAGTTAATATTAAGTTTTTCTCTGAGAAATATATTGCTTTGGAATTATCATCAGACTAATTTTATAATTGATGCAACAGATTCCGTTGCACGTTCGCGCGCTAAGTATAATTCAACTTAAATTAATTATATGAGAGAAAAACACCTAGCAGCAGCAACTGTTGCAACGTTCCTACTTTCTACAATTCAACAATTTGTTGGAAGAACGATTCTTTCTCTTATAGATACAGCATGCTTGGCAACCCATCATTTCTTTCCGGATTATTGCTATAATTGTGACATTATTACTAGATAATAAGTAGAATTTGCTTTTTTAGGTATCATTAATACATTCATCATCTCTAATAATGACATTTTGCGTGTAATTACGCAAAATTTTTAGATTTTTTGCTTGGCAAATTCGACAGGATGATGTCGAAGGAAAATAATGTAAAGGATATATGGTGTACCTGTCCCTCCACATTCCTTGTCCCTTCGGTGCGGTATTGAGAGCTGCCAGCGAGGTGCATAGGGATTCAAAGGACTCGCTGTTCTCAGAATAAAACCGATTTTGATTAACCGAATCAACAATCTCGTTTGTCATGCTCATGCCGTCTCGCTCGTACAAGTTGCACCCTTTTTCATTGCAGTCATCACATTTATTTTAAGTCACTAGAAAAGTGTTCTGTGCTTTTCTTTATAAATGCACAACGTTACGAATGCACGAAACGGCAGAAGAAGGATGTTATTAAATAAACAATCAAGATTTTCTACGTGAGAGGAGAAAATTTCTCATCGTCGAACATTTTTCATTCTGTTCAAACCAGGAGTGATTAGTTAGTATAAAACGTCAGTGATAAACGAAATTACTCACACCGTCAAAGAATCGTTCATCCAAGTGAAACGTGAAAAACAGCATGCTAAAACACTAAGTAATCGAATTTCGCTACGAGCAAGCAGACTGTAACGAGAATATCAAGCGTTCTTGTCGAGCTGGCTGAATGAACTATAAACTATCGCAAATCTTGCCGTGAACATTAAATCTAACAAATTGTTGCAAAATTCATTATGAGTAATATATCGTTAGAAAAATCCGTGTTTCAACAAACTACATTTGTTACATGTTGCATTTCAAGTGATTGTTATGTCTTATATTAACTAGTCAACTAATATTCCACGAGCAAACGAGTATTTTTCGTGAAAATCGAGATATCTTAGCTAGAATTTTATATTACGTGCTACATTAGTTTCCTCCTTCCGTGCGATAATCGGATATACACTGAGAAAATCTTTCATAGCTTTGAGTTAATTTATACTACGTGCTTTGTAAACCTAATGCAGATTTGAATGATTATTATAAATATTGCACGCGATTTAAATAAAATATCATTCATGACATATGGATATTAGGCACAGACGAACCATCAACAATCGTGCACTGATAACAGTGACGTAAATCTTTCCCTTTTTAAGATTCATGTAGGAACGAACGTGAAATCTATGTGAAATGTATATACAATTATATATGTACAATATTTTCATTATATATGTACAATATTTTCTAAATGCAAAATGCACCATTTGTAGAATTCTTTATAATTTTCTAATATTTTATCAATAATTTTATCTCACGAGTAATTTTATCTCACAACTGTTCTACAATATTTTGTCTATTAAAATTTTATCAGCAATGGTAAATAATTCTGATTAAAAAAACAATATCAAATAAAAATATTAATCATCATATTATGTCTACAAGATGGCAAGTATATTCTGATAGAGGACGAAGAAATTTCAGTATCTTTAGAAGAAATAAATATAATTCAAATTTATTTTCAGTATTTATTTATAAAATGAATATTGATGTAATTATTTTTCAAATATATTATTCTTTGCTTCAAATATTGGCGCTTATTATAAAAACTTGATATACGGCACGCATCACATTTTCCAATATTTTATCCCAAATATTTTGAATAATAAAAGCTACAAATTATTTTAAATGATACTTAAATGATATTTGAGATATAAATGTTAAACATATCGAAATTCAACAATTATAAATAAATTTGAAAATAATTTAAAGCCATCCAAAAAATTTGGGACAATCTACAGGATATGACACATAACACATATTTACAATGTATCTCAGGATAATGACAGAAGCAAAGATGCTATAATAAAAAATAATTCCATCATTTGTCATTAATTAATAAATAAAATATTAAAAACAAATTTAAATTATATTTATTCATTTCGAAGATATTGAAATTTCTTCGGGCTTCTAAATATATTTGTCATTTTGTGAGACTCAATTAGAAATAAATTCACTCAATTTAAAATAATAAAATTAATATGAATAATTTACTGGGTAGCCAATTCATCTGCAGGATTAATCATAGTAGGAAACTTTCACCAACACACACCGTATTGCACTATAATACATATCATTATTGTTTCGTAGAATAAATAAACATCAATCACGATACATACACCGGAATACAAGGACGCGTAGTATCGCGGATTGCATTTCTCATAATACCGAGTAACAATATTTATCGCAATAAAAATCTTCATATTTTACAATAGAGAAAGGTTGCGTGTAGAACTGAGCGAAATTTTGACATCGATAATCAATCACAACTCGTTGGGAATATTAAAGTCTGACAGTTTCTACAATCTGATAAGAGGATATATTATAAATTTGTTCATAATCGAAACTGACGACAATTTCTGCAAAGCAATCGTTCGATAATCGTTCAAAGCTGCTTCGTATATATATATATATATATATATATATATACACACATACTTGTTGATTTTTACATATGTGCAAGATATTTTATTTCGCTGTGAAGGATAAATCCAAACCCGTAAATCATCCATAACATGCGTTCAAAATTTGGGCATGTCGTTATAACTTCAGTATTATACATGTTTATCACGGCACACCATGCAATTACAATTTGGTTCCGCCAATGTCAATATATATTTTTATATTTCAGTTAACAATAGAAAGAGATAGATTTTCTTTAAGATTAAATTTCGAAAAGAAGTTACGATTCTGGATATTTTAAAATCCTTCATATGTCATATTGCTATTATAATTTGATCAGAAATTATTAAAATTTAATAATATGTAGTTTAATAATATGCAGTAAAATTCATTACACAACTCTCTAACATCGTAGAAATATGTTTCTTTTGCAGAATTTAAATCAAATCTCTTAATCGTCCAATAATGGAATTTTTTTAATTTTATATTTTCTTTCTTAATTACATATAATTTTTTAATAAAATTATAATGGAAGAGAGAAAAATAGATGTAAAATAGTACGTACCCGACATGCACAGGATGCCTATTGATATCTACATTGTCTGGCTTAAGATTGGCCGCATTCGTACGTTGATAATGTTCTTTCGTAATCATCTCTGTTATGGTTGGCGCTAGAAAACACATTGCCATGCACATTACATTTATTTTCCGAGGATGATCTAATCTGATTAACGATATGCAACACGATCGAATGTTTGGCTCTGTGATACATCGCGAAATTTCAACATGTTGAGTGTCGGCGCCAATCATCGACGACCAATGTTATTAAACATAACATGATGTAAAAATATGAAATTCGTGAATAATAACATTTAAAATCGTGTAATTATAATTAATATTAACTTGATATTTTAAAATAAAAATAAAACACACACGTGAATAGATAAATATTTCTGCCTTTAATAATGTAAACAGAAAAAATATGCATAGACGAAGAAACAGGCGAATTACATCCGGTATTCGACGTGTTAAGTGCCGCAGAAAATACAGAATTAATTATCATCTTACACTCCTCTTTCTTGTGTAATCTAGCAAAGTAAAAAGAAAAAAAAAAATTATCGAATTACCACTAGAATTGTACAAACAGTAGATTAGATAGATTTCACGTGTCACAGAATCACTCGAAAATTCTGATAGAATCACGTCAGAACAACAGCTGAATTCCGAGTCTGACTTTTAGTCAGAGTTGCCGTTAACTAACGCAAAAGTCACGAAGACACAGGCAACGATAAAAACATATTATCTATTAGACTGATACCTGCGTGAACCTGATGAATGTTTACTCACCTCCGGAATGTCGATTATCTCTCTCGTCGTCTGTCACGTTCACGCGCATCGAGTCATCCCCCATGGATTTCATGTCGTCAACAGTCATGTATCGATACTGCTGTTGGTCGCTGAGCATTGGATCTTCACCTGCGATAAATATTATACATAATGAAATAAGAGTAAACAAAAAAAAAAACGTAAATACGTTCGTGGGAGAAACCGAGAGAGAACGAGACTCTTGTATTTTAAAATATTCATTGAATATGAATGAACTGTACGATACGTGAACGTCGCAGGTATAATTCTCTACGGGAGTATGCGAGTACGCAAGTGAGAATGAGTTATGTGAGCCTGCAAATAAAGAAAAAAACCATCGCCAAGTTGCAATCAAGCTGAAGAAGCGAGATCTGTTGTATTTTGGTGTTCGTGTTTTGGGACACATGGCTCGTCCGTTTAACTAATGACTTGCAACAGTTTCTGCTAAATAAATCAAAATTGTGTACGATCGCCGCTGTGGAAAACAAAATTTTGACTTTTATTTAATTTTTTTTCTAACAACAAAAATGGAAATATTATCGCCAAACTGAATATATCGGGCGATATATTCTCTCTCTTATTTTGATAGACCTCAAGTGTTTCGAATCATAGCAGACTCGTCGATCCGAAAACAGAGTTGCTATGCAATTATTATTATTATGGTTACTTTAATCTTGCAAAAGATCTCGAGTTACACACAGTGTTGCCTTACAAAATTCTCGACCAGATCTTCTTCTCGACCAAAATACCTTTTGTGACCAGAAGGCCAAATTTACAATTTATACATTCTACCTTGAGCATCTGATAATACGAAAGAACTTAAGTTACCGAGTTTAAGTAACTTTTTAAACTTTTCTTTAACAATGCGACAAGCGCAACGCTATGGAATTACAAAGGATCGTCGTATATATTTTTATATAATTAAACGGATCAGAACACAGAAGCCTCATTAAAGTTAGTATGTTTCTGTATTATTTTCCCCATGAAATCACAGTAGAGCGAACGAACTTTCTCCTGTTTTTTTCCAGCTCTGACGAATCCAAAATATCCCACGATATTTTTCTTTAATTTACATTTTTATATCACTATACGTTATTATTCGGTGCTAACATTGTACATCGAAACGGACGGTTTCTTAACGACGTCTCACAGACCAGCCTCCAGCCAGTTTTTTATTCGAGAGATCGAGAGGATTTGCAGATATCGCGTATTAAGGTGTCGTTAAATCACGTCATACCTTCTGTCAATTGGGGTCACGGTTGGATACATCTCACACCCAAGAGGCAGCTCATAAACGAGAATAATTTGGTGGGACGCCGGCCGGAACGTGTTTGAACCGTATCACATTTTTCATACGACTGAGAGCCGCTCGCTTTACGATCCGGCGTTATCAAATATTCCAAGAATGTAGGCCACGATTATCTAATAAGCGGTCAGCCTACAAATTCGCCTCCCACAACGTCTCTCTCTCTCTATCGTTAGCATAATCACGAATTAATTTTGCGTTGCTTAATGTCGATCGAGAATGATTCCAGCTGAAATGAAGCTATTGCCGCTTCTCCCGCGCATCAGATATTCGACGTATTCACATTTTTTTCTCGAAAGAGTAATTTCGATAAAACGTCGTATCTGTTCGTCTTATCTCAAGTATCTTGTGAAAATTATCATCTTTCTAAATAGAATCGCCCATAATTAATGGAACATTTTGAAAGCGAAGATGATTAAATGATCGATATGTACACATATATGAAGAAGCAGCGTTGATAACAATGCGTAATATGCATAAAATTTCAGATATTATAAAAAAAATGTACAAGAAATGTAAAAAGACATATTTAAAATATTAAGATATATAATATATAATACATAATAATAAATATAAATATAAAAGAAGGCACAAATGGTGACTAATGATTTAGAATGCAATTTCTTCAGTCGGTGACTGATTAAAATATAATTTTATGATTAGCACTAATTAATTAGTATAAATATTATATGCTGTATTGCCGAAGCGATGCGAATTGTTGTTTGGTATCGTTACTTTTCTGTGGAATGCAAATTTGACGCGAATATCTTTGGCACGTCTGCGTTCTACGAGGACACCCCTGGTCTATATTTCGCGATTTCGACGCGGTTCTAGGAAGGAAGACCTGGTCCGGCTCTGCCACTACCCCATTTCCTTATGGTTTCCTCCGTGAAATGACGTCATTCCGCGCTATCCGCGGAACTCGTGGTGTTGCCCGCGAGTTTTAATATCTAAAATTAATGTAAACATCTGAAACGACGATAGCGCGCGTCGTAGGAAACTGTAACGTAGAAGCGCTAATTTTAACGATGTTTCAAGGACGCCGAAGAGCCGCGGCGATTCCGCTTCTCTCTTCCTCTTTCTCTCTCTCTCTCTCTCTCTCTCTCTCTCTCTCTCTCTCTCTCTCACTCTTCAAGAGCCGCCGCTTTTATCTACGCGCGACCTCATAGGCAGTGACCTATATCTTCCGCCGCGAACTACGCCAGCGAAATGACAAGCTATACAATAATCACGTCGAATCTCGTTGAGTGCAGTTAAAACGTTGACGCGCGTCGTCATCTACCAGAATAGTATTAACGGCGATCAAAGAGAGAGAGAAAGAGGGAGAGAAAGAGAAAAGGATGCCGTGCTTCTTTTGAATGCGGCAACTAATCGGATCGGCACGTCGTCGCTCGGAAAAACGCATCGACAAAAGATTCAACGGTGCACGTTCGGGAACGAGGAGAGTCAAAGCGTGTCGGAAAAACCTTCTCCTTCGATCGCGTAATATTTTTTCATTCCCACGCGTTCGTACGACTGTGTCACCGCGATCGCGGAATGTCCATGTTTTATTCTTTAATCTCAATTTAATATACTTTTTTGTTCAGTTGTAACAATGGGAAAGAGACGAGGAGTGAATTAAACCGGGATTAAAATTAACTCTACATTGGTGAACAAAAAATGAACGTAAAAGACATTCGTGATCTCGCGGAGATTGGCAAAACTTCTTTTTTTACGCGACGTCTTCTCTCTCTGCTGGATCGTTATCAGTCCGTCGTTATCGCTCGCCCCGATCCGACGTTACGCAAAAAATGAATGAACTTTGGAGAGCTTGCGAAACAAGTCGCCGTATCGGAAATTCTGAAACTTTATTCTGGTCTCGACTTTAATTCGATCGATCTTGACTTATGCGAGATCGTAGCTTTGGCGGATCAATTTCCATCGTGTCACTCGTCCGATCCGAGAAGGAGCGAGAGAGGAATGCAGAAGCGGTGTAGATGTTACGCAACGCTACCAGCACCGCCCAGCATGATATCTCTCCTCGTTGGAATTAACAGAGTGCTCGTTAACGGCGTAACGGCCGTTAACGAGGCGATATCTCCGTTAACGGATGAGCGATTTGTTATTCGTTCGCCGATCCGCCGTCGGTCCGAGTTGCTCGTCGCGGGCAATGGCAATTAATCCGGACCACGATACGCCGAACGGCTGCTTTTATCGCGGCCGCCGTGCATCCCGCGTAGGCGTTAAAAATACACCGGAAGAGCCGAAAGAGTTCTCCGCTGAGTTGTGGCCATGCGCTCCTCTTCCGAGGCGCGACGCGAGTTCCGGCGCCCTTGATCAGCGCGCGCACCGGTCCGCTCGTCCGCCGCGCGATACCATCATTCACAACACCCCTCGCGTCATCGAGCGGGAGGGGGTGGCCTCGTCCGCTTCATTGTCGCGTTCGTGCACGTAGTAACCAGTATAGTCGTAGCGGCGTATCACCAGGTCACGTTCCTCGGTCCGCTCTATTAAACAACGCGACGACGGACGGACGGACGGACGGACGGATAGACGGACGACCGTCCCGCTCGCGGCCGGAATCACGATTCACCCGTATGCGGCGTCCGATTTCTTCCGGCCGGTCGGGAAGACGATCGTGCCGATCGTACCTGATCCCGTTGCGCGATAACGATGCAACGTCGTCGTCCGCTCTCTACCTCCCGCGAGCCTCCTCCTCACGAGCGGACGCACGGACGCACGGACGATGCGGTTTCCGCCGGTGCAACGCGCAGCACTGAGCGTGCCGCGCGAGGCAGCGAAACGCGCGCTGCACGGGAATAATGTTTTTATCCGAGTCTCTCGGCGAGTCTGGCGATACCTCGCGATACGAAGCCGAGTCTTCGCAGCTGCTTGGCGCGTTTGTTCGTACGTTTGTTCATTCATTTCGGGTTCGTTCGCGCTCCGATCACGCGGATTTGTACGCGAATCACACCCACTTTGGAGGAGAGACGATCGAGAAGGTCTCATCTCTCTGCCGATTAATCATTCGCATTATTTTCGCGCGACAAGCACAAACGCGAATAAATTAAATGGGAAACGACGAAATCGTCATCTGTACTACCTAGAACTCTCAAGGAAAATGCAGAAGTAATTCATTTAAACGAATGCGGCGATCAAAAGCGATCGAGCGTCGAGCATTAATTAGCGTCGTAAATAATTTTTACCTCGGGATTATAAATCCTGTTTTTCACTAGTAATCATGGAATTATTTTTTATTATGAATGTTACTTTACCTCGCGTATCGTGCAGAAATGCGCATGAAGACTTCGAACAACAGTGCTATTCAGTGCTAAATATGCGCTGAGAGCGTTCCTCGAAATCAGGGACTGATTTTGTGATGCGCGATGTTCTACAAAACTTATTAAGAGAAGAGAGCGTAGCCGGTTTAACTAATAATTATTATTACGAGTCTTACAAAAAAATTGATACAAAGAGATAATAAGTTAGTAAAAGAAAAAAATTATTAGAAAGCCCTCCCCTTGATATTTATCCCTTCAGGTATTCCCTTTCTTATTTTTATCTTTGCGAAAAATTTATCATTTTTCTATTTCTATCCAAATAAGTAACTTTTCTCTTCGAGTGACTCGGACTGCAAACGTCAGTTTTCATGCAAAGTTATCGCCCTAAGAATCTTAGCTCGAAGCTCTTAGAAGTAAGACGCTCTCGCGGAGAAGTGAAGCACGACCCGAATATTTCGCTCTGATATTTGCGTACGCATCACGCCCAAGGATATCCGTCATTTACTATGCGGCCCCGATTCGGACAATGGGCCACAGAATACGGACGTTTAGCTTTCATTAACACTCTCGAGCTTGCGAAAACATAGTCGCGTGGCGCGACGCGGTGCAGCCTGTTATCTCTTTGGTAAGCACCGATTATCACGTAGTAGTACCGAGGTTGGTAAATACACAACGGATTGTAACACGTGACGATTAACATGTAGAACATGTGTTGCCTCTAGGGTGAGAACGCTTCGACAACACGCTTATTCCGGAATACATGCATTTTAGCGCGTTAATTATCTCTTCCGATTCATTCCTCATGTTGTGTACATTTCTCATGTTTTATATATATATATTACGAATATTTTACACAATATAATTTGCACATTGCTACGTAAATGTAAATTGATTGTTTTCGTAGAAATAAAATATTATTATTCATGTAAAGGTAAATTATACATTTTAAAACAAATGTGTAATATTTGTTTAAATTTAGAAATTTCAAAAATAGAAATTATGTCAATATTGCAAATATTTTATTAAATATTAAAAAAGTATTAAAACAATTCAGAAGGAAAGGTAAGGTATATCTAGGTCTGAATCGTCTCTGTAAGAATTAAGGAAGAGTTTAAAAATTCAGTTACACTTCTAATAAAATGAAATCTCCAACATGATAAGATTATTTGATAAAAAATAATATAGTAAGGAAAACTTCTTTAAACTTATTACCTAATGCAAGTCTTCGAGATGTTTCTTGTACAATTAAACATTACAATAAATCATACTTAAAGCAGTTTGAAATGACTGCAAAAAACTGCACTCCATCAATTGAAACGTTAAATCAGCTTAAGTAATACCTCGAGCTGCTGATGTAAAATTTGATGATATAAAACTCTAAACTTAGCAAGTTAGATAATGTTTAATTGCAAGAATGTAATATGCCGTATGAACAAAGGCTCGTGGGAAGTCAGCATTTAACGTTCATTAACGTACTTAGCGTTGTGAAAACAGAGTCGCGTGGTGCAATGCACGTTATCTCTTTACAAGCACCAGTTATCAGAGAAAACTTAGTAAAGCCATCATTTTGCAAAGAAATTCTCTGTATCATTTTTATATACAGCGCGATTGCGCAATGTTTAATTTGTGCCATAAGTACACATAACCGAGTTAATTCGCAATTTGACGTGTCATTCAAAGCAGTGTAAGCGAGACTTACTTTCTTAAAATCTCCTTTGAATTCCATTCCACAGTTTCGTTTACTTTCTGCAAAATTGCATTTTACTGATACTTATATAACTTTACTGCAACCTCATATTTTCTCTCAAATAAATTGACTGAAGGAAATCTATATATGAAAGAAATCTATATACATAACTTTTTTATCTTTTACAGTAAATAATTCGTGTAATATTATTTATTTCGTATCGTAAGATCTATTTGGAATCCGCAAATTAACTTTCGTCAAAAAAAATCATAGATTGTACTTGCAAAATTTATAGAGATTATATAGATGCAGATGAAAAACGCAATGTTTTACACACATAATCCTAAGAAAAGAACTGACCCTTGTTCTTTCCGATCCTTGGTTTTTCTGTCATTTTTTTAATTTTTATTGCGTCAATAGTAAAAATATTCAAATATTGTTGCAAGATTAATGTTAATATTATTACAAGAGCGAGCATATATTATAGTCTGCCTAATCGCTTAAGGAAGCAGCGGTGTTTCAGCTTTAAACGGTCAAAATAGAGAAAAATTCGCGGCGTCTGCTTCACGATTTCCTACTCGCTCGTAGTACGCCCGAGTGATCGCATCGGGAGGGTCGTGTCCGAACATTGCATGGCTGCAATAAGCGACGGTGAATGCAAACAGATGCACGATATTTACATAATACGTCACTGTTCCTGTTGCCACACCCGCACGAACAGCCGCACGTGAATCCCTTTTTCTTCGCTTTTCCCTTGGCCATGTTCGCCGATGCGTTGCCTCCCTTTCTCTTATCTCTCGCGGCTCTCGCAGCTCTTCCCACCGCCGAATTTTCCTTTCTGGAAGAGGAAGCGTTCCGTATCCCCGAGCGTCGTTAGCTCACTGATGCACTATCGCGACGCGCTCTTCGATAGCCCGTCCGGAAACTCTGCGTGCAACGCGTGCACTCGGCATATGCAGGTGGCATGGAACGAATAGAAACGTAGCGACCGATATATTTCCGGATGATGATTTACATCGGCGAATTCCAGAATAACTCAACGGTGTGTTTTATTGGCGTTTTTTTTTTTGTTGTTTCTTCTTCTTTCCTCTCTTTTTTTGGAAAATTGATCGGCGCGTCTTCTCGCTCTTTATCTCGCTCGCACGACGCTGAGCGGCTGCTTATCGGCCTGCGAGCTGTGGTCCCGTGTGGTCCCGCTTTGAATATCGCATACTGACACACGGTCGATGGGGTGACCCGGCGGCTAAGCACTTACTCGATTAGATTCAATTCGTTTTAATTGCGTTTAAGTTCGTTGAATACTTCCTTTATCTTCGCGCACGGCTCGCGGCGGCGTCGGCGTCGGGCGTCGGCGTCGGCGTCAGGAACAGCGACTGTCGGTGGAAGATTGATACAGGTTCGACCGGCAACGGGAGGCACTGGCTCGCTAGGAACGTGACCTCATTTCGTGAATCACCAATTTTATAATAATAGCTGCCTTTGAGCTTTTCCCGCCACTTTATTCACCCTCCCTCGCGGAAAGATCGACGGGCCGACGCGAGGGGGGAGGAGGCGTTGTTTTACTGGCGGTTTGCGTGATCAAATCGTACTGACGCCAATTAATAGATATAACGTCAATTTGTAATACGTATTACGATTATTACATAGGTCGAAGGTTCACCGCGCGCGAAGGAAAATAAAGCGAGAAACTCTCGCCTTGCGATGCGCGCACAAGATAATGACCGAATTATTTATCGTCCGTCACGACGATGTCCTTTTTCATTCGCGATTACAACCGATTTAATTAATCGTACTGATTTAATTGCGATAAGTCCGCCAGGGATGACGGAACACACACACACACACAGAGCTTTCGTGACTCGAGCGATTATTACGACCGGAGGACGGTAGTTTTCAGAGAAAAATAATCGATTTCTTCTAGGAAACAAAGAGTTCCTCGCCAAGTTTCTTCAAGTTCACCGGTATTATTTTCAGCTTCGATTTACGATCGACCCCGTTCGAGATGCGCTCGAGGTGCGACATTCGTTCGGTGCGTACACGTGGGCGTGCGCGTGAGTGCGTTACAATATTTGCACGCTTTATTTTTTTTTTTCCTTCGTTTTCTCCTCTTAATCGGCGCGCGTGTAACGTTATATAAATACGAGATTATTTCGGTACGGGGATCCGTGTGTTTGGCGGCACGCCAAGCGTCAGGGATCGGACTGACTGCACTAATAACGCGGCCGCGATACGCACGACGCCGGCTGTTGCATAACAGGTAGCTGAAGCGGAGGGCGGTACGTGTGGTAGGTACAACTATTACACGACGACGACGACGACGACGACGACGACGACGACGATGACGACGACGATGACGACGACGGCGACGTCGGTCGGCTGGTATAATCGCGCGGCTCGTTATTATGTAAATTGCATTAACGATAGCAGCACTCCCGGTAATTTCTATACTATAAAGGTAAAATTGCATCCACCGGAGAATTAGATCCCCAGAGTGCTCCACGTCCACACGCGCTTTTCTACTTTTGATACTGCAGTCACGAGCGATTCAGTGCAGCATTCACGCGCAGGACATTTTGACACGTGCAAGTGTGTACACTCACGCAGAGACGCACGAGAATGTCTGAGAATGTATAATAATTATCTTGAACATAAATTCTGTGGCGATAAAAGCGAGAGCAGGGAATAGAATTCTTCATGTTAATTGTTGAAATTTAGAAATCGCCTATATTTAGAATTACAAAACTTAAAATAACGTCGAAAAGGTAAATGATAAAATAAGTAACAGTTAAAAAAAGATAAAAGACGTCGACTAAAAATTCTTGAAAATATCTTTGTTAAATGTGTTAAAATGTGTGGTGTAGAAAATTTTTTCTTGGATAAAACTTAATTCTAATTTCTTTCAAAAAAATCATAGATTCTGATTTTGTATAATCCTTTAATTTTGAGAGGCGCTTTTGAGTCTTGCTTTGAAATGTTCTTCCTATAAATATTATTATTGGATAGTTTGCATTTTTCGTTTAATTTCTCTAAAATAAATCTACTATGATTTTTTTCATTTCACAGCAGATAATTCGTATTCTTTGACGTATTTGTTTCAGTAAATAAAAGCACGAGCAATTTCTCCGTCGTTTGTTAAATGAAGCTGTGGTAACGAAAGAATGTCATGTATTTATTATGTACGGTATAATGATAATGATCACATCAGCGATACACATGTTATTTTTTACAGCTATAAGATTACATAGAACGTAACACAACTGAAACCAATGAGCCTTGATGGCGATCGTAAGGTATTTCACGGAAAGATTGTGTAATATCAACTGTATCATAGATATTTTAATTATATAAAAAATTCAAGATCTGTATTTAAATACTTTGCCTAGAAAAAGAATCTTAAGAATGTAATGGATATAGATTTGTTATAAGCCTTCGCGACGTATTATAATGATATCAAATCAATTGGCTGAATTATGATCAGTTATATGTCTATGAGGTTCTGTAAAGTTTAAACTAAAGTAATAAAATATAAAAAATATTATCAATTTAAATACGATTATTACAATATTATTCATTTTATGAAAGAAATATATAATTAAAACTCACGGTATAATAATTTGGATAGAATATAACTTGATTACGCTTGCATATATAACTTAGTCGAACTGCTACTACATTAAAAATAAAAGATATATGCAGGGGAGGGAGGGGGGAGGATGATGGGAAGCGAACACGAAAATAATAAATGTGTGACAGAAATAGCGGGCAAGGGATAATTGTGTCTATGCGTGTCTCTGTATGCAGATCTGATGTATGAAAGTTCGATCAGGACAAAATGTATTTTGTGAACGAACGGAGCCGAGATGCGGATATACGAACATTGCCAACGAAATAATTACGATGATGATAACGATGACGATCGATACTTTACTTCCGACTACGTCGTGGCATACGCTACTATACGTCACGATGCTCTAATCGTTAAAAATAGCGAAGCAGCTATTCCCACATAGAAAATGTTTTGGTATTTGAGACCCAATACGATTTCCCCAAAAATCATGAACTCTGCTTGGCAAACATATAAAGATTCAGATCAGAGGCATAATATTCTTTTACACACTCGATTATAAAAAATAATATAGAAAAAAAGAGGAAACAAGAGGTAAGAAAAAAAGATGGGAGAGAAAGAGAGGAAAATATGGGATAGAGAAGTAAGAGGAAAGAGGAGAGATTGACAGAAAAGAAAAAAAAAAAGATATAAAATAGAAGAAAAATAAAAATAACTAATAAATTCAAAACTATTATTTTTCTGCTGATTATTTAAGGAAGATATAATAATTTTTTCTTATTTCAGTTTATTTTAAATATTCTTAAGTAAACTAAGAAAATATTCTCACATTTAGTATTATTTAATAGCATTTTTTATACTCATATTATTTGACATTAAATATTGTTGCAATCAAATAACTTTTATTTTGTATTTTATTAAAATTTAATTTGGCTTAAATTCATGTGGACATTCTGATCGGAATCTATGCTGTTCCCAGGATGATTTTGGGAAACTTCTATGCGGGATATTGCGTCGATAAAAAAAAGTGACACGATGACATATCGCGATATTACATTATTTTGCGATAGTGCTGGAGTGTACACATATGTATAATCTACGTATACTTTTGCCGCGATGGCGTTCCACGTGGAGCGCGTGAAGAAAGAGAAAGAGAGTGACAGAAACAGAGTACAGACAACTTACGGGTATAGGTCATTTGGCCCTGGTAGTAAGAAGGAAGGTACACGTGTTGCGCGTGCGGAGGCTGCCCGTACACATTCATGGCTGCCGTGCCGATTTCATCACCACCTACATACATCGTACACGCCGTCGAGGTAAGGTCATGGTTTCATCAAAACGCTAATTTCGCACCATATATACTGTTTGTTTTTCTTTTTCTTAAGTTTCGCTCTATCACTGGGTTAGTTAAAAAAAAAAAAAAAAAAAAAAAGAAGAAAGAGAGAG